CTATATATTTCCCAGCAATGCGAATGAGAATATATCACCAGACTATAGTGGTGAGACTTATGAGGGTTCTAAAGTGTTATTTAGAAAACCCTTCCTAGAGTAAGACATGAAGGAGAAAAAAATATTATATTTGTCAAGTTGAACCAACCATGAGATAGAGAATCAAGTTTTTTTCCACTTACTCTAGATCCCAAACCTTCTCCTCTTTTCTTACATTTTCTTTTCTTTTCAAGTAGCCTTCCCTTTTGTACTGTTGTGATAATCTAGTGGGACACAATAAGGGGGGATCAAATTCAGCTATACTTTTTCAAGTTGATATTCAGAGAGATGCTAAAAGATTTAGTCTTCAAGTCATAGATCTATAAGGAAAGAATTGTGAAACCTTGAACACTCTATGACATAAAAGGGTGACTATTAAATCTTCAATGATAAAACGGGAGTCCCCCTTGGATTTACAATACAACCCTTGAACCTTTAAAGAGAAAAATACTTAAAAATAATGAATCTACTACTATTCTTTAGTGCACATTTTCTGAATTAGTCAAAAAAATTCACGAGATCCCCCAAATAATTTCATCTAATAATAAAATCTGAAAGTATAAAAGCTAGACATAAAAGGAAAAAAAATAATCCCATAAAAAGAAGTTTTGGGCATTATGAGCCCCCTAGATCATTCTAGTTAGGTCCTTAATTTCTCCTCCTCTTTTTCCTGTAGGACTTTATTCTTTCAAGAGTAGCTAGTTAATTTATTTCAAATACTACTTAAAAAGTCAAAACAGTCAATATAATTGTGGAAGTTATATTACTTGGATTTAAGGCCGCAATAAGCTCAAGAAGAGGGGGATTGAATTGTTCTGATCTTAGTTTTTTACCACAAGTCAACTATTATAATCTTTCTTGATCTTCCTTTTCAATCCTAAATTCTTTGTGATCATATAGATCTAGATCTTATGGGCATTATGAATTTTGTCAAAAGAAACAACGAAAGAATTTAATGTCATTTTCAAAGATTGATGAAGAAATGAATCAGGAATAAAATTTGATAGAGATACAATTTAATTATACTTGATTTTCTTCTCCCTTTTATGTCTAAAAGATAGATGAATGCTGAACATGTTGTTGCTGAAATCAGCTTGAAGATAATTAATTTTATATCAAGATTTACTCATCAACTTATTGTACTCTTATCATAAAGTAACCTTAAAATTCTACTAAATTCGTATAATTGTTTTTTGCAAAATATGATAACTATATTTGAGACGGTAGAGCAATCAAAGGTGATTTTTAGTGAGTAATAGTCATTTGAGAAGAGCTATATTTATAGAGAATTTTGAATAACTCTCCTCACTTATTTTTTGTACTCATAGAAGTTAATAATTTCAATAATTGGAATAAATGATGTATCCTTTAGAGTACATATATGTTCTACGGTTGAATAAATAACTTTTTGAATCTAAGACTGCACTTAGACCAAGAAGTGGGGTAGAATTTCTTATATCTAACTTTTGACTTCAAGTCAATTTCTCCATTTTTCTTTATTTCTTCTTTATATTATATTTTTTTTGAACCTCATAGATCTAAATCTGGACAACATAGATTTTACTTTAATCTAGACCTTTACCTATATCTATCATTTTTGGTCCGCCCACTACTAGAGAACACCTCATTCTTAGGTTGTTCTACTAAATAGTACCTAATGACAACCACAAAGTATTGAGTTCATCTCATCTAGAATTTTAACTAAAAATTCACAACTCTAGGTTGGCCAAAGACAATTAGAATCAAATTCCTTAAATGTTTAAGATGAAACTCAATCACAAGTTTATGGCTCAAGGAAGATATCCATATTGGTATTTTTTAGAATTTGATAAAGACTGAAATCACATCTAAATTCAGTGAAAAGACAATTCAATTCTCCTTTATTTCTATCTCCCTTTTCAAATCTAGAAGTGATTTTTGAAGATACTCTAACTTAAAGAGGTCAAGGTCATCTATAAATCAACATTCACTCTCCAACATGCATTCTTACTATTGAATTAAGCTTTACTGACCACTCAAAATTTTCACATAATTATCTATGAAAAATTTTCAAAATAAATTCAAGATGTAGAACACTTGAAGATGATCATTTATGACTAATTAGCTATTAGAGAAGGTTGAATTTTATAAAAAAATTCTCATGTCCTTTCCATTCAACATTAAAATTTGAAAAATAGTTATAAATTATCTATGTTTCAGGCCCTAATATTTTCTAAGTTTAAAACCAACAAATAAGGCTATTAAGCTTTAACATATATGACTGAAGTTATCGATTCAAACATCCACTAAGAACTTGTCAGTATCAAGATGCATCTATGAATACATCTTGAATAAATTAATAGTTTAGAAATCAAATTAGATATGGATTACCTCACAAAAAATATAGATATGAAGTAGACACATTGAATCTTCATATGAATATTCATTATCATTCCTTTAGTGACAAAAATATCAAATATAATCAATCAATTTCCCATCAAAAGTAATACTTTCAAACCACAAACATTTAATAATATATGTGGGACTTTACCCCACTTTTAAACATATGTTATTCACGTTGAAAGCCTTCAAGGAGAAGAATTCTTCACTACTGAACACATTAAAAGAAACAAACCACAAAATCTAAAGCTAGCATAGCAGCTAAGGGTTCAAGCCAACTGGTCATCTGAAGAACTCTTGTTGAAACCACATTGAGGTAGTTATTGGATAAAAATAATTATGTGGTAGATTTAGTTCATTTTAAATTTTGTATCCTTGTAATTCTCTCATGCTAATTAGTGGTATTATTGGTTGAACTATGTAGAACTAGCTTTGTGACTATTGATAGCCCTAAATTATCTTCATGATGATCATGAATATATTATCATTATTAATTCAGAAACATATGAAAACTAATGATTATGGGAACCTAAAATATTTATTTATCTCATTTATAGTGTTGCAAATAAATCATCTTGTTAGACATTTTTGAATTTGAGGTTTAGAGTCCTAATAAATTACAAAGTAAACAGTTAAAAGTGTTAGAAAAACTTCATAATTGATATATTATGCTCATGCAAAGTTTTTGACGATCTAAAATTATTTTAAGAAGAATTTATTAGTTTATTTATGTATATTCACATACCATACTTAAGATTGACATATTTCATCTAGGACCACCCAAACCCAATACCATGGGATTGTCTTTGTTTTGATTTTGGTTCAAACTTGAAGGATACGTCTGCATCATTGAGAGAATGTATTGTATTGGAATTCCAGTTCAAAGCTTCAAAAGATTGTTGAAAACACATTGAGGAGATGAAACAAGAGGGAAGTTTTGTAAAAAATATTGTGCATATAAAATTTTGAAGTCATTCTCATTTGTGGACAGCACTTTTGCCTATTTGTTCTCTTGAACAACTCCTTTGCTAACATTCTTGTGTCATTCATTGAGAAACAGCTTTGATGAAATTCAAAGATCAAGATTACTGCCATGAAGACATGACGTCTAGATCAAGATTCTAATCAACAGATTATCACATTGTTACAAGTGTTTACTAAGGAGCCTTAAACTTTCAAGATGCATCAAGTTGAGGGAGGATCAAGAGTTCAAGTTCAATCAAATCTGACTTCTCTATCAAAGTTCAAAACCTTGTAATCGATCTATCTTTCATGTGGATAAACTTTTGATAAGTATGACTTATCACTTGAGAGAGCTGATATCTATAATCAATATTTTTGTGTTTATAGGTCATGTGATCAAGTGAGTTTCATAGAAAAGTCAGTGATAGCTGAGTCCTTAACAATCAGTTGCAAGATTCACAAGCTCAGATCATTCGACACCAAAAAAAAAACCATAAGGTTAAAGGAGGCCCATATATAAGATTATATGGGCCTCAATGATTTTAGGTTGTCTCATTGAACATAAGAGTTGATGGGCCCAGGGCTCACAGGAGACAGACAGCATGGGTCAACTAGTAGGCACAAGGCCTGCAAGAGAGAGCTACTTTTAGTGGACTTAGACTCCTGTCTCTTGGAATGGGCCACGCTTATCTTCGTTGTGGGCTTATTCTCTTCTCTTTCCAAGAAAGCCTCCTATCACCTTTCAGCTCCAGGTCCATGGGCCGTGAAAATATGATAATTACCCCCTCCCGATGGGCCTTCTTCCGCTTGAATTCGTCACCTCCCAAGGGTTTAGTGACTCCACCCCCCTCACGGCAAACGAGCAGACGCCGGCGCTGTTTATTCTCTTCGGTTTTCGGTGGAGCTCCTGGACGCGCCGACCTATTCCTCTTCTGCCGTTGGTGGCATCTGCTTCGTCCTCCGCTATCGTCGCTTCTGATTCTTCCGTTAGCGGCCTTTCTCGCTGCGTCCGCTTCCGCTGTTTTTGCCGGGGTTCGCCGGCGGCGCACCAGGTGGGCCATCCAGCCGCTTCCTTCCTTCAAATTTATTTTCCTTTTTTGTATGATTCAAGGCTCCACAACGGCCTGAACTACTCGTAAGCGATCGCCTGATACGGAATGAAGGTGTGAATCTTGTGATTTCTTCTGCATCATAGTCTACAACGAAAAATGATCCACATCTAGAAATTACCAGGAAGGATTTCCGTTTACGATGGTCTCGTAATAATTCAGAACTTGTACCACGCATTTTACCGGGACCTCGTCTTTGGCTTCAAATCATGCTCACGTAAAGATATAAACGGGAAGATCCAGCGGTCAGATGATTAAAATCCCATCTATTCCGCCCATTTTACTTGTTGACACAACCAGCGTATGAGAAAACTCTACAAGATGTAGTTTATCTTTCATCTTCTTGTATTCAGTTTCATGTTACTTCTTCCCGGCGGACAACAAGCATCTCTTTGCCCTTCGCGTTTTTTTCCTTTACCGGATCGGATTTCTGTCAGATTTTGCTAATTCTTCCCTCGTTTGTTTGACTCTGGAGCTCAGGCCTTGGGTGACGATCAGAAAATACCCGGCATGGCTCTGACGAATTTCATACTAACAGTCGCTGGCGTGACAGCGGCGGTGCTGCTACTCAGGAGTGATGTCAAGCAGTCCGCCACCGTCTTCCGCCGCAACATCCGCCAGATCCGACAGTGGCTAGAGGAGGAATCTGTCTCTGCTGCCAAGTAACTTCCCGTCCCATCCTAATTTCTTGTTTCTGCAGCAGAAAGAAGAAATTTATGCTTCCTTTAGCTAAATATAGATGAGTAATGTTCTGTTTTTTGACAATATTTCGGATTGAATATGATGTGAAATTCACTGGACCCGTCGGATCTTGGAAGCTTAGAACCCAAGAAAGATGAAACTTTTGATCCCAAGGAAGCCAAGGCGCTTGAAATCCATGATCAATTTATTATATTCTTGGCCACTATAGAACGATTAAATAGATCCCATGGTACTTCTGGGGGTCAAATTTTCTGATCGAATGTGGATTTCATACATTGTTTTATAAGGGTGGGTCAAACTTAGTTGTGCCCATTCATGCAGCTAATCCAATGCTCAATCCCTCACCAAGATATTTCAACCCCAAAAACTTGTTGAGATGTAACACTCGCAAACCTTGTGTTTCAAACTTTCCCATGTCTTGGACTTCACAACCAGCTGGCTAGAGCAGCTCTTGTCAGAGGGTCACACCAAGGGACTCGCCCACCGCATGATCTTCCATGCTTCACAGTTTCTCCTCCTCCCATGAAAGGGATTCCCTTGACTGAAAATGCAGACTTAGGAATCCTGCAGTCTCCCGTAAGTTCCTACGATGATATCCTGCTCTTTGTGGAGGAAGGATGCCGCTTATCATCAGAAGGGTTCTTGTTCTTGCAGTCTCAGTGTGCATTTTTAGCGTTCTGTGCTTGACATGGTTTTTCCCCGGGTTTTCTTCTCAGGAGCGCAGAACGCACGGCTCCAAAGGAGTTGGAGACGCAGGTTCCAAAGAAGGAGATCCCCAAGGAGGACAAGAACTAGCCTCATTGCTTGTTTTTATGTGCTCAAGGTGCCACCACTGCCCCACTCCTTTTATGTACTCTTTTCTTGCCCTGATGAAACCCCCAGTGTAAATCTTGTGACTCTCAGAGATGGATAAGGCTGAAATGGGTCGGGCCTCAGTAGCCACTTGTCAGCCATCATTCTCATCTCCAATCCCTGGTCAACCCCTTCACTGCCACCGTTTACCTCCATCATGGTCAACCCTCGTTGAATTGCTGCTGCCAACTTGGGTGGCTGTGAGAAGGAGTATTTTTCTGTTAAAAGCATTATAGGCTTGAACCCTTACAACCATACTACTCTATTTATTACATAATTGGTTAATATCTTTAACACACTATATATGTACATATTAAGAGCCATGAATCTTTCAGCAGTAGCGATGTGGACTCGTGAGCTTGAGGACAGCTGAGAACCGTAAAAAAATATGTACAAGGAAGAGTAGGGAACTCTTTCTTATTGATATGGCTTGTAGAAAACAAGGCATGAACCTCACCGAATTCACCGGGTCGAATCGCCCAGCTCTAACTCGTTCATATGGTGTGGATCTACAGCAGCATACAAGGAATCGTGAAGATATCAAGCAGAGATGCGGGTTTAGGACGAATCTGCTGCATACATTACAGATCATAATACAAGTCGTTGCCCGGCCTTGCAGGGGAGGAAGCCAATGAAGCATCGTCACTCCAACCGCAGCCTGGTTCTCCATGTAGTCCCCAGGACATTCCTCGGCGCAGGGTCGTCTGGTCCCCGGTCCCGCTGCCCTGATGTGAAGTACAGCCATCCATCCCAGAATCCGACCAGGGTGGTTTTGACCCTGTATGGCATTTTCCCAATCACCGACCATTCCTGCAAGAAAAACGGAAAACATTGGAGATTTGCTCTTTGTTATATTGATGATTTCGCATGTCTGCCACTGCGCAAGACCCGTCCATTTTCCTTGAGAGAAAGTGCTGCCACAGCAGTAGAGATCATTGTGTGGAGATTTGAAGGCCAGTCAGATCAGGTTGGAGTGCTGATTGCAAGCAAATGTGATCAATCCCAAGTGCCGCAGGTCACATTGGTTCACCCAAATAGAGATCACAATTTCAGACATTATTTGCAGCATTATCCTGATAAAGTCAAGGAAGGAACTGAGGATTTCGGCCGACGTGCCAGCTAGAACTTGCCCAGTCTCCATTGCGTTGACGAAGCTTCTCCCTAATTCCAGGAGATGTGTGTCTACTCTCGGGCAATCACATCAAAACTCCCACTCGGATGTAGAGTCCAGGAGGAATAAATGATAACATGAAGAATTGTGCTGGTGCTGTGAATCTTTTCATAAATATGAGCTGTAAAGGGAAGATGGCGTACCAAGGTGTCTAGGTTGAAACGGAACAACTCCCCAACGAGAATCATCTTCTTGGTGAGCGGGTGCTTCTCTGTAGTTCCCCCAGCAATAACGATAGAATTGTTGACAATAACCCATGCAAACTCTATGTGAGAATCAGGCTTTGGCATGGGAGTCAATTCCTTCCACTTGAGTTCGTCATCAAGCATGTAGACGTTGTCATAGACAACCTAGAGCAATTGATAAGCAGTGAAGATTGTGAAAATAATGTTGAAATGAAAAGCCCATAACAACAGGTCTTTCCATCTGGTAGTTTGCCAAAATGCAGAAAAAAGAAGCAATATGTATAAAATCTTATACATGCTGGAAAAATCTAGTACTCTTCAGTAAGAAGAGTTGACGTAAAGCCAAGGACTCATCAAGTAAACATGAATAAGCTGATACAGGTCTAAGATTTCCATACGCACGTTTGATATGTGTGGTCAACCTAAGAATATCATCCCAACGTTATCTCAAGACACTAGGGAAGGGCTTGGCCAGCTTTGGGATTCTTCAGAACTTCAATATTGCCATTCAAGCCACGGACCTAGATGATTGATTAATAATGGCTGTACATCTGACAGCCAGGGGAGCCACATCTTTTCAGTAAATAAATTAGAACCTTATCAGATTGCAACAGAAATTTCAGGTCAGAAATAATGAACAGGAATCGGGGGAATTTCTTCAAGCCTCATAGCAGAGTTAACATCTGAACTAAGCTACTGTTAGTAGTGGCTAACAACGTGAAACATTTTATTCTTGAGAGTAGAAATATACTAAGGAAAAAAAAAGAAGAAGCAAGTAATCTGAATTTATACCTCGTTTCTTCGTGAACATTTGAAAATTGGAGATCCAGGTTTCGCCATAAAATCACCCTCTTGACCACCAATCACTAAAAGCTTATCATTGGCAACAACGCATGCCCTAGAACAGAATTGAGCATTAGAATAACGATCAAAAGAGCAGCCTACAATCTGCATTGCAGAAAAGTATCTAGTTGCACTGCTTTACCCTCTCATAGTGAAGCATGCTGCCTTTTCCATATTTCCTTAAAGGCCTAAAACAGCATATCTCATGCATAAAGGGATTCATATAACGATGAGCAGAATAATGGCGGTGAAAAAAACCTGTGGGGCCCACCAAGGGGTATTTGTATTTCAGATCGCCATTCATTTTCTAATGCTTTCCCATCCTTCACTGCCAAACTCCAATGCTCCGTTCCAGGCTCATGGCGATCTTCTTTGCTTCCACCCATAACATGAAGCCGGCCCCTCCAAAGTTGGGTAGCAGGGGCATACCTTCAGAATGAGAAAATCTCAATGCATGCCAAAACCGAAAATAGCAATTTCCATGAAAATGACCCACACTTTACACACATGGACGACCAATTAAATTCCTCAGGTAGTTCTATAATTTCAATGCTAAAAAGTTTCTGATGAAGAAAAAAGTTTCAAAAATTTTGTATCTACCTGGGGACAGGTAATGGGGGCAAATCATCCCACTTCTTACTCTCTGTATCTAACACAAAGCTCCGAGAAGTAGGCCCTCTACATTGTGGGCCGTACTGTCCACTGATAACATAGATATACCTCCCATCAGTTGCTACCCCTAGGTGTGAATGCGCCATCTCCTTTGGCATATCAAACTTTCCTCCCCACGTATTGTCCGTAAAATTGTAAACATCAACGTGAGAATGCACCTGCAAAAACATATAATTGCAAATACTGAGACGAGTTTGACAACCAAGGAAGCGAAAAACCCACAAAATGTTGCCTAAAGCACATCATGAATATCATATCCAATGCTGAACAACGCAATTCAATCTTAGGAGAGATTGGCCGGACATAAAAGCGTTTTGAATTTCATTGGTGAGACACTGACACAAGAGGTCAGTGGTTTCAGCAAGAACAATTTCTGACAGAGGACAGATCAACTGGCACAACAAAGAAAAATGGGAAACAGCTATTATATCCAACTTCTTCATCTTAGCATCCTCAGTCTTTCAATCTTTGGATACCAAGTCAGACTGAATCCAGCGTGCCAGAAGGCACTAAATCTTTATCGCCATGCTTCCAAGAAAATAGCCAAGACTGGCCACCGACAGATGCCACTGCTTAATACATGTTAGAAAGACAGTCAAATGATCCAAGGAACAAATAAATAGTTACTGACACGGCAGAAAATTAAATAAGTCGTCCATCTACTTGCAATAACGGGGAGCATCCATGTTTTGTTTCGCAGCAAGAGAGATTCGTACATAGTCGATCGTCCCATATCCAGCGAACACGTACAAGAGATTCTTGATCTGAATGGCGGCACCGTCCAGACGAGCCACAGGCGCCTTTGCCATCTCCTCCCACTCCAGTGCCGGCGCAGGCAGATCGGCAAAGGTGGCGTTCGGCTCACCCTTCGCGAAGGCTAACTTCACGTCCTTGGCGGCACCCCTCTTTTTTGATTTCCCCGACTGCCAATACAAATTATGTGAATTAGAAAGAGCAAATCACCAAATTAAATCACTGTGGCCGCAGCACTGTTATTACAGTCTGGCGCCTCCAGATCTCACATCGCTACAACTCCGCCGACGCCCCCAAGCCAAGAACAAAATGATCATACCAAGCAGGTTAAGAACGGAAACCACAGTCTAGCTCTGCTCACCTCCTCGGAGTTTGGGGAGACGATGCCGATGGCCTTCTCGACGGAGAAGTATGGTGAGGCGGTGGCGGTCGAGGAGGAGGCCCAGAGGAAGTCGGCCACGAGGACGATCCCGAGGAGAGAAATGCAGGAAAGCACGAGGAGGTAGCGCCTCGACGGCGGGTGCTTGCCGACGGCGGCAACCCGGCTCCCGACCATTTCGAACCCTCCCTCCGCGAACGGCAAAATACGGGTTGGGAAGCCCCGCGGCAAATGGAGTACTACGGGGAGATTGAAGCCCCCCGAGGAATGGCATCCAATTTCGGGGAAGAAGAGGGGAGTCTGAGTATGGTGGTGACCGCCGGTTGGTCGCGAGCTCCCAGCCACCGCCGGCGGTGGCGGGTGCAAGATCTGCTTGCTTCCCCGTTCCAGCGGCAAGCTGGAAAATTAACCGCCAATCCAAGCGAAATTGTAAATAAGTCCCCAAGCAATCCATCTTCCATTAAAGATGGTATTTCAACAAATACAAATATTACAAATCTTTTAACACACTGTGCCTGTTTATGGGGTTGAAATATAAAACAAGACCGGCGGCCCCATTGTCCGCATTTCCTTTAGGGGGAATATCTTCTCTCTATAGTTGAAGAAGTGAATGAAAATCGCTCAGATTTTTAGCTATTGACCGTGAGCCCTCATTTCTTGACAAATTGCAAATGTCAGCTCACTCAGGCGAAACTAAGCCAGGAGTACCCGCTTTATAAAAAATATAGAAGATAATTAATGATATGTTTTTATTTTTTAATTGTTCTCCTTCTAATTCTATCAAAAAAATAGTAAACGTAAAATTTTAATAAAAAAGGGCTAGAGTGGCCGCGCATTGGACCAATGGAGAGACCCAACTCGCTCTCTCTCTCTCTCTCTACCTATCTCTATCGCTCTCTCCTTCTCAAATTCTTTTCAGTATAGTAGGCATAATAAACATAAAAGATTAAAAAAAAATTAAAAACATTCTTCTCTCTGTTGGCTGCACTAAAGTGGCTGGCAATGGTGATGAACAGATGGAAAGATCCCTCCCTCTCTCTCTCTTTCTCTCTCTCTCTCTCTCTCTCTCTCTCTCATCTCTATCTATCTATCTCTCTCTAATTTTTTTGATCTACTCTATTGACTCCATTAGAAGTGGGCGCCGTTGGCAGTGGGAAGATGGGGAGACCCGCCACCTCTCTCTCTCTCTCTCTCTCTCTCGCTCTCTCGCTCAGAGACCTACCACTGGGTGTACTCCTACCGTTCAAGGCGAGGAAGCTCAAGCTGAAGAAGGCGCCTGCCTGAGGATCCGAACGGGGACGATGGGTATGGAGTCCCACCATTCCCTCAGCCGTCTGTTCCTCGGCCCATCGCGATGGCCTCCTCTGGAGCCGGCGAGGAAGAACAAGGCCGTCAAGCCCATCAGCACAAATCTCAGAGGAATCACCGCCAGGAACACGGCCACCCCGCTCGCCGCCGCGATCACCAGGTTCGCTTGCTGCCACAAACATCCCCCCCAAGGGCGGACGATGTCAGCTCAGAAGTAAAAGATTTCTAATGGGATAGGTGCATCGAAAAGAACAGAGCCTCTCTCTCTCTGGAAATATTGATGGCGGATTGAACATGAGATAATTATCAGGGATGAACAGGGTGGGTGTGGAAAATCTATTAGGATAGTGCAACAGATTCCTAGGAGGGATAGGAGCTGAGAGGAGCTGGCTAGGAGTGGTACCTTGGGAGCCTTGGAAACAAATATGGACCAGGATTTCAGAATGGCGATGTTGGCCTTCTGGACCAGATCTTGCAGGCTGTTGAAACCATGTTGGGCGGAGACCAAGCTCTCCATGGCCGACTGGCTGGACGTCGGGGACACAGAAATCTCCATGCATTCATTTCTGATCCTCATCCACCTTGCCCGCAACATCATCCAGACACCCCACGACAGAAGAACTGCAATCGCGTAGCCCGCCCATTCTCTGATCATCACATCGCCAGAAATGAACTGCTGTGAGCTGCCCTTTTCCTTTTTCTTGATAGTCAGCATTAATCAATGAAGCTAGTAAGGTTTCTTCTACTGCAGTCTCATTGAATGTCGATGGAACTTACTTGTAGATGATGAGCAGAGATACTGTGAGAGCAATTAGCGTGCGAGCTGGCCTCTCCCACCGGAGAAGCCCTTGAAACCATGGAAGAACGCTCGTTACTGGTTTCAGCAGTTCCTGGTCAGTGACACCAAAGGAAGACGGTTCTAAGTCCTTCAATGGAAACAGAAGACACCCACCACGGCGAAGAATCAATGAATACTCAGAAGAAGATGTGGAGAGGGGGAGCAATAGAACGTACTGCAAGAACAAGGAGGCTGTCGCTGATTCCTTCCTCTTTTAGCCCTTCGACTGAGGCTCTTGCGACGAATACCTCTTTCGCCTCCTCTCTCACTTGACTGATAGTCGTCTCCAGGGACTCCAATTCCTCCCGTTTCCCGATTGGGGCTTCGTATCCTTTCTTGGCAACAGAGACTGAAATGTCAGGGTGTGACATATTCAGAATCTTCAGTATGGAGGCTGCACTGCATGGGTGCAACGGGCCCGCCTCCTTGGAAGTCTTCAACAGTTCTTCCAGTACGTAGTCCCCCTTGGGTAACTCATCGAACAGGGTAAAGATCAAGAAGTTTCTTGGAACCGGCGGCGCTATTCTTAGCATCTCTCTGACAGCATGAAGTCTTATGATCCCCAAGATGGTCCTCGCCTGCATTTCCCATCGTTCTTGTGGGGATTCAATGCCGAACTTCGACAGGAACTGGTGCAACAAGATGACCTCCTTCGTCAACGACAGCCAGTGGTCGCGTCTGGTCGAGCTAGTCAACTCCGGGAACTCCAAGATAATGCTTTCCCCTCTGCAATGCCCATCAATAGATGCACAAACAAATAGATTCCTCAGTTCTGCTCCCACTAGAACAGGTAATCATTAGCTGTCTAATAAAGCTTTGAGCACGAGAATTTCTCACAGTTGGGAAGATTCGTAGATCATTGCCTTGTCAAAGAGAGGGGCGCCCCACGGCCCAGTGGATCCAGCCCTCAATCGGTGGCCGACGCCGGGCTTTGCAAGGTCAATCTTCAATGCATTCTCGTATGATATTACTCCGGATGCCTCGAAGTAGAGAGATCTGTTTGTCAGTGTGAGTCTACCTGCCATCATTTATTCATGGAAGAAAGAAAGCATTGTCCACTGATGTCCAACTCTCATCAAAGAAGGATATCACATGTTCATCATAGAGGGTAAAGGCGGGGGAAATCTACCAGGCCAACTGGTTGCTCCAATGTGCCTGATCACCCTTTGCGTTCTTGCTGTTCCTTCCATGTGCAATATGAACTCATCGTCTGCCAATTCGACGCCTGTGGGTATCGATTGCTTCTGCAGGTACTTAACGCACCTGAAACATTATCAAACTGGGCGAGATTAGTGTTCAATGGAGACAACGAGGGTTTTTTTCCCCCATCTTCAATTTTTTTTTTTTTTTTTGGCCCATTCAAACAGGAGACGCTGGTGAAAATTATTTATTTTAGTGAGCAAATTTCTTCACCGAGCAAAACAGCTTTCATTCATCGGTACTCAGGAAGCCTTTTAAGGAAAGCTATAAGTGTAGAAAACCAGTAACAATATCCTCTCTTCTTTAGTATCATGGATTCCAGAAAGAGCACAATTTGGCAATATTTTCCATTGTGTAGTATGAGATATTATTTCCTCAAATTCTCGACCAGATCCTTTTTCAGGACCTATTTCTCTTTCCTGCATCATCAAGAACTTTGAACACAACGACATAAGCGGCGGTGTCAAAGTAAAGAAAAGAGCAGATACCAGTAAATAATTGCTCCTTTGATTCGAAAGCATGCCTTAATCCCGCACATTAATGGAAGACTGCCCTAAAGACCAAAAACCAGGAGGGCCTACTCACCGATCTATCTCTTTCAGGAATCTGTCATAAGCAGGAAAGTGAAGTCTTTGCGCTGTGCATTCGGTGAAGGCTTCGAAAGCAAATCGTGCATGCACAACATCTGCCACTAGAGGAAGCAGGGAAGCAAGCCAAAGAAATGCATCCTCTCCAACACTCTGTTCTTCGTCAACCTATTAAAGGAGGCCAGTATATGGAGCTCAGTTGAAATCACAGAATCAACTCCTACCCAGAATAGGAAATATCGATCCGTAAGTCAACTTAGATGTGTGAGTCGTTCAAGGCGAAGCCCTTACAAGGAGAGGCATGAGGTCAGAATAAAAGAGAGGGACTTCGTCGTGCATCTGCCCTTCTTTCCCTTTCAGGGGCTCCTTCCTGTCTTCCTTCTCCTTCGAAGTGCTCTCCTGTTACATCAAGCACAGGAAGAACAGATTTATTCATTCATCCCTTACATTCAGCTCATGAACTAATTCATGAGGAAATAACTTGTGATAAGCTTTGATTCTTGTGTAAGAACGAGAAGATGCTCACAAGAAGGGATTCTTCATGGTTGCAGCCGGGGCGCTCCCACGCCAGCATCATATCGAAAGTGAGCCGGCTGAAAGATGGGTCAGCGACTTTCTCTCCTCCATCGCGGCAGAGGCTTCCTAGCACTCTCGAGCTGCAGAACTCCACAAGCTTCCTCGAGTAGCCCTCCACTGCAGGCCCTGCGCCGAGCTCAAACTCGTCGACAAGCGCCTCCAAAGAGGATCCCACAGTCCTGTAAACATCGCGGGTATAATCTGCTCGTAGGCACAATGAATCGTAGTAAAACTAAGAATTGAAAATTCCAATGAAATTTTACTCGCTTGTGAATGCAATTCAGGCGGATGTCGACAATATTTATGAATATTACCCGTCGAATTTGCCTATTTTTTGTGGGGAGGCTATGATGCATGCAGAAGAACATACAGCACTTCCTTGTCTGGTCTGTCTTAATGATTTCTTATTTATCCGTCGATCAAAAACCAAGAAAGCCATGAAAAATCAAAGTTAGCAAGAAATTTGAATGGAGGACAACGAAATTCTTAGTTCTTCCCTAATTTCTCCGCAGCCTGATGAATAAATCAATCGCACTTCCCACAGTGATGAATAGCACACGCATCTGCGCCATAGCGGATAGGTCACAGCCAATCCCAATGTTCCGACTCTTCCGTCCAGACGCAAAACGCCTTCCTCACAGAGGAATACCATTCTTCTTCTGGCAATCAAACATAAGTGACACTCCATCTTCACTTCCCTTCCCCCTTAAACAGAGGAGAGACCAGATATCTGCATGGATGAGACGTAGACACACGCACAGCAGAGGGAGAGGGAAGCTGACTTACTCTGCGCATCTCCGGAGGACGCCGTTGGCAACGACGGACAGGCGCTTCTCCATGCTGTCCTCCCTTCGTTCTCCTGAATCGTTCTGGACGCAGAATACGAACCATATGAAGGTTAAGGAGGTGCATAGAGAGAGAGAGGGGCAGGTGGTGCTGAGTGAGCGCCTTCCCTCCCTCCCGCCTTCAACGTGGCAAGCCTGGACGACGCACTACTGCATGGTGGTAGGTCTTCGATATGCATAACTGAGATGCACGTCTACCACCTACGTGCCTATCGAGTCGTATCGAAAACTCTTCTGATCCAATCAGAGCGCCCGAGCATGAGCAAATTTGAAATCTGGTGCGTATTGCTGTGCGTAACTGTACGCTTGGCCCGTGTATTATTTTCCATATTTTCACTGATAATTAAGCAATCACAACCTTATCAACAATTATAATTATTTTAAAATATATATAAAAAAATTTCACACAATTACGGTGAAAAATTTATAAATATATGCGTACATTCTCCCATGAAATTGCTCTAATAGAAAATTTAAATACATTTTTAATTTTTTTCTAACATCCTTAGAAATTGAAGAAAATCGCTATAAAAAATTCTCAATTGTGGATGCCAATTTCTTAATAGAAAATTGCGGTTACACCCTCAAAAAAAGAAAAAAAACCCAGAATGTGTTTCGTATTTCTTTTTCAGACCAGGTTATATATGTAATTATATTTTCATAAAGAAATAAATTCAATACCTAACACGTGGGGCGGTCCTTATTATCGAGGCTTCTGGGCGGAGCACTTCGGATATAATAATTCTTAAAGGTATTTTGGTAGGTCTTCTCGTGGAATCAGACTTTTCTGTAATAATACACCAGAATGCCAGCCCACCCTTCCCCATGACGTCGAAAGTCCGAGGAGAGAGAGTGGTTTTGGGGGCGGCGCCAAGAGGAGGTTTCACTGCGGACTGCTGGAGGGGCGTCAGATGGGCGCCGATCATCCCCTTTTGCAAGTTCATCTCGATGTTGGTGTGTAGATGATGATCTCTCTTCTTGCTTCCTCGCTTTGTCTCTGTCTCTCGCGACGAGTATATCCTTCATGCTGATTGTTACGTGGGGCGTGGAAATTAGGTGGATGAGAACTCGGTTCTGGAGCCTTTAAGGATTTTTAGGTTCCTGATAATAATATGAATTTTCACTTTATGACGTGTTGTTAGCGGGAATGGAGCTGAAGAACTTGTGAGATTTTTCGACATTTCATTGTCTGCCAACGGGAGACGTTTCTATCTTTTCGTCTTCCCGTTGAAGATCACGTCAAATGCTCCTTTCGTCGTATAGTTGACGAGGTCTTGCCCGTTTGATGATCAAAGTGACTTTTAACTCCAGAATTACTCGGCACAGCGCATGTTGTCCTATCTTCGCATCACAGAGTTCGATGATAATACGAGTACGTTGCCATTTATGATAGATTGGGCGTCATTACAACGAAGAGACATAAGTATATCTAATTTGCGTTTGAATAGTCCTGTAGATAAAGGGATACATTGAATCATGTGACTAAATAGGTAAACCTGCTGTACTCATTTCTTATTCAGTCTTTAAACCTCGATATTTTTCTGGTAATGGACGAGATTAATGCTGTACTTGTTAAAGGCACAGCTTTGATTTGAAATGGCCCGTACTTTTCATGGAATTCCAACTTCTGATCGATTAACGACGATTTATCTGCTGAAACTTCCAAGAGGCATCGAAACATCTGGTTTATTGTTCTCTAAGTGATTCCTCTCCAGCGTCCTAGCCTTCCCATTATCACAGATAGCCGATTACAGTCAAAAGATGGCAACCTTCCCCAAACCTAGTTATCATTAACAAAGGCTTGCAGTGCACTTTTGAGATTCGTTTATGGATTGTCAGCGAAGACAAACTGACCATATCTCTACAGTTCTGGATATAATTGACACAGGATTAATCTCAAGATACTCATATTATTCCACATAAGGCTGCACTGCAAAAATGAATTCCCCTGTCCTCTTCTCTTTATTGCAACCTGAAGATTCGACGTTCTTTATAATTTATTTTGAGTTTTTCGTGCCAAACTCCTTCTGTCAGTTTATTTTGTGAGGACCTTGTTTTGATCACCACTCACTATCCTTTTGTCTGGTTTACTTTCAGGAGGCAAGACATTCAGGACTACGGTTGACACATTGACTCGACGTGAGCCTGATTCAATGCTTGCAGCAATGTTCAGTGGTCGTCACAGTGTACCCCGAGATCCTGATACGGTATTACAAGTTCTCTATGATGTCATTTTGTCGTCTTTTGAGTAGCCTATATTTTACAGATTATTGCTGAACTTGGGTCCAAGAGAGCAACTTTTGTTTATTTTTTATAAATTTTAAGTTGAGGAATGTTTTTTCATGGGAGAAATTGAACATAATACATCAACGCAAAGCCCCACAGATGACAGGCAACTATTGTGTTGACTGGAAAAATGCAGGCTCTTCAACTGCCATTATGTAACTCTATGTAGTTTTCATTGACTATTTTGTATTAATCCTCCTATTTTATACTATATTATCTGTTATAATTTACTATTACCTTCACCTTTTATTACATTTCAGATTAAATCAGTTTATTTTTTCATTATATATCGTACACAAATTTTTGCTAATCTTAGATTACATGGTTAAATGCGTCGATGACCTTCTTTAAGGATGGGCTTTGCCTTTTCTTAATTAACTATGTTAGTTCCTTTCTGCATTAACTTGATTAGCTTATGATACAGAAGAGGACACATTTGTTACTTGTTGTTGACCATTAACCAACACAAACTTGGCTGACCAGTCCCAATTATGCTTCAGGTTTAATTTTCAGCAAACATATTTGAAGACATAAAAATGCGAGTAGAATACTAGAATTCGCAAAATATCGTATCCGTTCTCCTAGTTTTATACGATTTCTCGCTCTAATACTGTTCTCATTTTTTGTATTCATGGGTGCTTCTAATGCAGTTACCGTACCATTATACGGGAAAAAGTGCCAGTAGGCCTAGCATAGCTGTCTTCTATCTCCTACATACGAATGAGACTTTTTGTATTCTAAACCACTTTTTTATCTTTTTACTATGGTATTAGAGTATGTTGAGGAGTAGGATTTCATTGTGAGTTTTAAAGCCTCTGTTTTCCATCTCAGTTCTCTCAATTTTTTTTGCCATCCCTCCGATTTGGAGAAGGATATGCGGGACATATCTTTATTCGGAAGCTCCTGTTTCTCTCTTTTTAGTCTTGTTGCATCTGAGTATGTTTAGGTTTGGGGTTCTGTTGTTTGTTTTCCAGGCTATGTTTCGTTTTGACAGTTCTGTCTTGTTTCCTTGCCAACCTCATGTTGCCGAGATGAGGAAGTGAGTCAACTTCTTATCTTATTATCTCCTTTCCTTTTTTGCTTCATATCTGGTTGTTGTTCTGTCATGCTACAAGGGCCCTGATGCTACAGTGGCCATGCAGTGCTTGGATAGTCTCATGATGCTGCAGCACCCGTCAAATTTTCTTTCATCACTGAAGCCACTTTCCAAGGCCTCGTTGCCCCTCAGTTGTCTCTTCTCTTTGGATGACCCAATTTCTTGAGCTAGGCTTGAGAACTGCATTTTATCTGTTCCTTCAGAGACTTTCTCTCCTCTACCCTGAAGTTCCTCTGTGCAAAGCTTCACTTCATACTCATTGGAGTACTTGCCCTCACCTTATCGAGTATCCTTTTCCTACTGACGTGTGACGAAGGTCCATGAACAGTATTACTGGCTGCATTCATCTTCTCATAAGACACTCGTGAATGACTACGTACGTACTATCTTCTCATGAAATCATTGCCTACCAAGCAATCTGACTGTTATCATCCAGTTTATTATCATGCTATCGCTCCTTACCTTCATCCTGTGTTTTTTGCCTGCCTTCTTCCTACTGTCATGATTTTGTCATTGATCTAATATTCATAGTAAATACTTTTTAGTTGTTTCTATATCTTAACACTGTGGAGTATTGCAACATTCATAGTCCAGTCCAGCTGTCAAAATACCTATTTGGTTTTGTGGTAATGGGTTCTGTTGGGCTAGTAGGATTTTGTCTTCCAAGATATTGAGGGAGGCTCATCTTTATGATATAGCTTTTAATATTCTCTAGAAAATTTTATTTTGTGCAAGTTAATTTGGCGTGCTTAGGTGTAGTAATCAACTGACTTGTATTATTGTTTCTTGATTTAAATTTGCTAGGGAGTTGTCTTCATTGATAGGGATGGAAAATATTTCCGACATATTTTAAACTGGTTGAGAGATGGTGCCATTGCCCACCTTAATGAATCAGAGTATGATGAGCTGCGGCGAGAAGCAGAATACTATCAATTGATTGTAAGTCATATTTTGACCATTATGAATTTCATGTTTCACAGATCATAATTGATTTACGAATAGACTTACATTTTTCAACATACTGATGAAAATCTGTTACTTTGCGAGCATATGATTTCCTTGCATATAACTGAGTTTATCCCTAAAGGGCTTCCCATCACGATGGCCTACTTACTTTATAACTCCTGAAGTCTCTGCCCACGCACCCCCCCCCCCCTCTCAAAAAAAAAAACGTATACATTTTTACATTTCAGCCATCGCGAATGCATGATCTGTGTATTTCAGAATGGAGAAGGTTGAAACTTTATTTTTTCAGTATTCCATAAGATTTTTTATTTTCTTTTCGGACAAAATCTTGTATTAGTGATCAATGTCTTTTTCCTTCCCATTGCCATGCTGTCTCTATATGAAATTTATTGTGAAAACCCAAGGTGTAAATATAGTTGAATGTTTTACCCCTGTTGTTCCACGCATGAATATAATATTGTATTTATGCCATTCAAAAAAAATCATTCTGAGGAAGGTACCCAGGATTTTTCAATTTTATTTACAGGATTAATTGGAAAAGCGATCATAATCCAATGGATGCTTTCTATTTTTACCGCAGTTTAAGTAAATTTGTAATTTTCTCCCCATGGTAGAAGTCTTTTGGTTTCCCAGCATATTTTTGGTGCTATAAAATCCTCTTCTCCCTCATTTAGGGTCAGGTAAAAAGTTTGTTGCCTGCTGAGAAATTTTCAGTGATAAAATTATGTAATCTGGGTAGTCTTTTCAGAGTTCTTTTGTAACCTCTTTTGGTCTTTTAGTGAAAATAATACAAGTCTTGAGAAGCTGTTTCTTTTTCTTCATTCTAATGAGACAATTTCCATCTTTTAAATTCCTCATTCTTGCATCCGTGGCGATTGCGTTTCTTGACCGGTTTTGAATTCTTTACTATTTAGTTTTGTTTCCAAATTTTGTTCTTGTCCTGTAGATTCACATGTGTTTGGTTTTCCAGGGGCTGGTTGATCATATAACATCGGTTTTAAGCAGCAAAAAGGATAGCAGTTTAGAAGCTGAACTGACACGCACTGAGGTTGTTAGATGCATTCAATATCAGAGGGTTAGATTCCGTGGATTGAATCTTTCTGGCCTTGATCTGTCCAAACTTGTAAGCTCTCAAATCTGTCAACTATATTTTTTGAGTTTCATCTTCATTGATATTCTATGTGCATCTCTTTGATGTGGTCAATTCATACCTAGAGTTTGAGATCAATAAGAAATGTAATTCCTAGGCGTTCCTTTTCTTGTGTATGAAGTGTCTACTTACCACTCTCTCTAAAAATTTGTGCTGGAGTATTGATGTATTATGGATATATTTTTGAAAAGAAGGTAAGGTAAGTGCTTGAATCAGCCACTATGTTTTATATCCTACGAAAGATTTTCCCTTCGATCTTCTTTTCTTTGTAAATATTTGGTGAGCACTTTGTTCACATTATGCTGCTTGACCTTTAAAATGCAGCATCTCTTCTAAGCAAATAGTTAATATGACCTGCTCTTGGTTCTACTTACATTAGACCATATGGATTCCCCATTGGGATTGATGATTCTGGGAATGCAGGATTTATCTCTAGTCGACTTCAGTCATTCTTGTATACAAAATACTGTTTTTTCACATGCATACCTCCAGTCTGCCAAATTTCGGGTATGTTTTCCATTTGATCATTTTTTTTCAGAATGCACTCGTCTTTGTTATTTTTTGGAAGTTTCTTTTTTATATTTGCTTGCCATTATTTTTTAATACACTCCATCAATGTCCATATTGATCATTATCATCTATTATTCACGTGAGACATTTAAGAGTTTTTTGGGGATCTGCGTGGTTTCTTTGCAGGATGCGGAAGCTGAAGGTTCCAATTTCCGCAATGCAATTTTGCGTGAGTAAGGCTCTCCAAAGCTATCTGATTCATCTATCTAAGTTGACAATTCATATGTTTTTGTGGGAAACATGTCCATTCTGATTCATCTATCTGAGTTCTTTTTCCTCTTTCATATACGTTTTTCTTTACAATGTTCTACAAGTTTCTTTTCCTAATGATTATGCAAAGTCTTTGATTGATTTGTTGTCAGATAAATTGAAGTGTATGGTGAGGGATATCTTCTCTAATCTTCCAATTGGTCGACGGAAAAATTGGACTGTGATGATAATATGCCTTGGAGGACAACATTTATCCCCAGGAATGTTTATATTTATCCCCGGTTTTCCTTCGGATTTGTATTTTCGACATCTAAGTCTGAGAAAGTTAACACAGTAACAGACCATCAGCATCATGTACTTTGGAGCGCTCATATTTGTTATATTCCAAGGCTGCCATACTCGCTAATTATAAACAAAATAGAGTGATTTGACAAGTAGCCGTTTGTCTAAATCGTCACGTGGATTAACATATCTTGGGTCCCCCCTTCCCCAATGGACAACGGGAGTTTCTGACGTGAGGATGGAAACTCCTCTCTCTCTCTCTCACCCCCTCTGTTGGATGTTCTTATTTAATTATATAGTCATTCATTGCTCTCAAGTAGTTGAAATACTACATGGCACTTGTTTTAGGAAAGATGAATCATCCTAAATCACTGTTGAGTGAGTTGGCTTAGAATTCGTATTTTACCCTCTGGATTTACTTAACGCTCTAAGCTTCATTGTTTTAATCGCATAACTTAATCTGGTTGATGTACCCTCAGTGCTCTCAATACTTGACGTACGCCAAAGGCCCATGATTTCTATTTTTTCTTGTTCTTTATATCTTCTCAAGGTTTTTTGATATTGACTAGGGAAGATGTGAATTTTCTGGGGCAAATCTTCGAGGAGCTATTTTAGATGGAACTGATCTTCGGAGTGCAAACCTCCCAGGTAATTTCGTGCATTTTTTACCAAACCATCACGCTTTCTATCTCCCGTTATGCTCTTCATGAACCTTCAAAGAAGAAGATGGCATCTCTAGAAAAAAGAATGCCCCTTCATGTATCAGAATGTCCCGCCCATCATCATCTGCCTGAGATACGACTCCATCTAAACGTGATCTTTTCCATTTTGTCAACCCTTGTACATTGAATATATTTCCTTCACAGTAGCTATCTGGGTTGATAGGCCAGTGGAATTGGGAGATGAGTGGCGGTAAAATGTGCTTTGAAGAATAATTCTTATTGCATATATTTCCGAGTTTGCAGATGCCTGCCTGGTAAAATGTAGCCTGTCCCAAGCAGATCTTCGGACAGCACACCTCCAGGTTGGCCATTCTCCCTGTCACATTGCTGGGCTCTGCATGGCATATATCGCTTGCTCGGAGATGTCTCTGGTTATCGCTACTGATGTCTGCACTAAGCTCGTCTCATGCATATGCTTTACACTTCAGGGTGCTGACCTCACCGATGCAAACTTGGAAGGAGCTAATCTAGAAGGCGCCAATCTGAAGGTATTCCTGGTTATTGATATTACTCACAAACATATCACGTCATCTAATTGAGAAGCAGTTGAAACCCATTGGAGTAGGCCTGTGAATATAATCGTGCCGTTTGATTTATTATTTATAATGTGGGGTTATTCCATCAGGCTCAATCATGTGCAAAATGGCTTTTGAGCTTTGTTATATCGATTAATTTGAATGGGGCGCCTGCTGCTCACATCCTGCCCAAACCCAGTCGGCAACAGTTGTGCCAAAGTCGTAGGCTATGATCGATCATCCCGTTCTAGGCCTCTGCGTCTGATTAGACTTACACAGCGGTCTCTGGAGCAGCAGCCTCTCCACTATCCCACCCTCGGCTTATATGAGCCAAGCATGCCAGCGTTTTCCACCCAGATGGGTTTCTCGTTTCGGGATAGATCCCTAGCTTATGGCCTTCATCTGGGTTTTGACTTCTGTGGACACAGCTCGCCGGATAAAGCGTTGACTTGATAACCAACCCAGATCACTTATTCTCTTCAGAAACTCCCTCATCATCATCATTTCCACCCTCGGCTTGTCGCCTTCATCTGGATTTTGACTTCTGTCGCCACAGCTCGCTGGATGAAGCGTTGACTTGATAACCCAGATCCCTTATTTTCTTCAGAAACTCCCTTATAGTCCTCATCATCATCATTCTTAAGCCTCGCCTTGTTGCCCTCTTATATTTATTTACTGCAGGGTGCCAAAGTTGGTGGAGCAAACTTTCAGAGCGCGAATCTGCAGAGAGCCTACCTGCGCGAGGTCGATCTGCGGGAAGCGGTAAGTGAATTTCCCCTCCCCTCCCCCTCGCCGCCCACCAACCTGCTTACGGTGAATCCGGGGGAGCAATTTTTATGTACAAGTGCTCCTCCTACGTTGCAGCAAATGGATGGCGCGATGCTGATGGGCGCGAACACGATAGGTGCCATCAGGTAGCCAGCCGTCCGATCCGCAAGGGGACCACGCCCCCACCCTTAAAGATAATAATGATAACGATAATACTTAATAATAATTCAATTAAATTATGTGAATGTTTAATTAGTTTTTGGTTTATTGCTCTTGCGGAAAGTTGCTTCAAGATCGTTGTGATCACTACGGTGACGATACCCCCTCATCGGCTGTCGGCTGTCGGCAGGGCGACCATGGCCACGTTAACGCGGCCGGCATCCGACCGACGTAAAGGATTGGACGGCGAGAATCAGTGGGCCCCACCACCTCACATGCGGAGATGGGACATAGGACGGTGGCGGGGTGGGAATAACAGCACCTATCAGCTTCTCCTAGGTGAGCATCTCTAGCCGCTGCATGTGAGGATGGGTGCTATTCCCACCCCCTTTATGCTTCTTTGGCCCCAACCCGTGTCTATCCGTTCCCGTGGGCGGTGATGCCACCCCGCGAGTGTGAGAGAGAGAAAGAGAGAGAGCGAGAGAGACACTGGACGAGATCTATAAAAAGGGGGGCAGGCAGAAGGAAGGGAGAGAAGGAGAGAAGCGGCGAAGAGAGAGAGAGAGAAATGGCCGGAATCATCCAGAAGATCGGGGAGGCGCTGCACGTCGGGGGGGAGCACAAGAAGGAGGAGGAGAAGGCCAACCACAAGGGGGAGGGAGTGGGCAGCGGGGGGGAGCACAAGGAGAAGAAGGAGGAAGGGCTGGTGGAGAAGATAAAGGAGAAGGTCCACCTCAAGGGAGAGGGAGAGGGAGAGGGAGAGGGTGAGAAGACGGAGAAGAAGAAGAAGGAGAAGAAGAAGAAGAAGGATAAGAAGGAGGATGAGGAGAAGGATGGCCACAGCAGCAGCAGCGACAGCGACTAACTGGCACCTCCTCTCCATCCCCTCTCCCTCCCTTGTAATAAGGATGCCATGATCAAATAACAATAGCTTTCTCCTTGCTCAGTGCAGCGTCTCGTCCTCTCTCTCTCTCGCTCGCTCGCTCGCTGACCCCGGGTTTCGTGGGCTTCCGGTTTGGAGCCTATTTTTATTACATATTATATGTATATATTTTCCAGAAGTGCCAGGTGGAAGGAATCCCTCCCCCGCTCCTCTCTGCGTTCTCGAGAAGACCAAACTTAAAAGGATACTATAATGTGTCCTGTAATGGTGTCTAGAGTATCTGACTTTTATTAGAATTTTATATACCAAACTGTGGGCCCCACTGCTTTATTAGTGTTATTATTGCATTCATTACTTTTTATCTCCTCCAGCTTTATGGAAGATGTCTTTGATTATTCGCCAATATATGTACTAAGCTCGTGTGAGGCAAACTTGGAATGAGATAATTTAGACTGCACCAATTTGAAGGTATTCTTGGTCACTGCTATTGTTCACAATCATATTTTTCATCTAATTAAGTAGTTGAAACTAATCATATTATGTGCATACTTTCATGTGATTTAATTTAATTTTGTATTCACCAATGTTTTCCACCTCCAACTTTATTGAAGATGACTCTTTGGCAAGTTTAAGATATTTTGATGATGACTATCTATATACGATGATAGTTTAATAACCTTATATAATATAAATTATTCAAGTGATGATATTGATTGCTTGATATTAACAAAGGTTCACCTACTCTAATAATGACTCAGTTTGGGAGGTACAAGAATTGTTGCATGAGCATAAACCTAACAAGAACTTTATTTGAGTAGAATGGTCATCACTTTATGCATGAGGCTCAATAATTTGATTTTATGTGTCAACTGAAGTCACTAACAAAGCATATGCATACATTCAAAACTCTTTAAAAGAGCAGTTCAATGTAGTTAATCATGTCACCAAACTCCAAGATTTTGAATTGGTATTGATTCTACAAGATTAAGATGTACTTTTAGAGTTTAAAATACATGCAAAAAATGTGACATTTTTTAGATGGTTTAAGAACCATTAAATCGCCCCAATAAGCTAGAGATCAACCACAGCCCATTAAAGAGGCATTTTCTTAGCTGAAGAAGAAGAGTGAAATAAGAACAATGAGAGAGAGTAAGACCTTTAATTTAAGCAAGCTTCAACATCTACCTCAAATTCTCTAATGACATTTAAGAGGAACAAGTATTGGGGAAGAAGCAAGTGTTTAGAGTGCGGTTCTACACAGGTCCCATTTAGAGTCAATCTAGAGGAGATTATTCAAATTGGTCTGCACTTAGATAAAGAAGCAAGTTGAATTAATTAAATCTTAGATTTGCCTTTGGTCAAGTTGTTAATAATCCTTTTGATGTTCTTTCTCCAAACTTAATTCTATGGCTTTCTCAATTCTAAATTTAAAGTAATTTAACTTTTAAAGTAGTTCTACCCCTATTTTTGAATCATGAATCACAAATTTATCAATTAAGACTTGTTCAGATTGCCTTAAATAAATTAAAAATTTCATAGAGATATATTAAATCATGAACCTAATATGTAAAATCATAGCATTAACAACATAAAATAATTCAAAATCCTTTGTTAAAGAATATTATTTAAGATTCAAAAAATCGTGTCAATATGAGGGTTCAAATCTAGTTCATTAATTCAATGTCATAACTAATGGAAATATATGTCTTCACATTGTGAGAGTATACTATATTGAATAAACTTTCATACTCATATTTTATTTGAAAAAATTATATTTATTTTGATGTGCTAATCATTAATTGTTGACAATGAAAACCCTATAATATTATCAATTATCAAAATAAAATTCAAATTATTAATTCAAGTGATAAAATAAATCAGAAGTTTAAATTTAATATTATTGGGCTTAAATTTCTCTTTGATAAAAATATTTCAAATTTATTTTAAATAAAATTTATGATTATTTTGAAAAACTATTTAGTGATATTTCATGAATAATGAATAAACAACATTGTTTGATGTATATATTAGTGCTCAAATAATTTATTTTTGGTGATTACAAAACCATAGAAAGAACTCACGAGGATGATTTTAATTAAGCTTCCTAAAATTTGTGTTGAATATATTCCAATTTATTCATGTTAGTTGTTAGAGTAAAAGATTTTTGAAAGAATCAAATTACTTAATCTGAATTGTTGTATTACATTCATAATTAACACAATAATTATAGCTAGCATAACAATCTCGTTCCTCGCCCCTCTTCTCCTATGATTCCATTTTCTGTACTCTCCCCCTATCACAATGATCTCACCCTTATGACTTTAAACGATCCCCTTGACTTGCATAACTTCTTCTTGAAACTTATACTTTTACTCTCTAATTTTTTCATCATAAAAATATTGATAAATTCTTTAATTTCTCCAAGAATGAATATGTAGTAATGTCATTTAAAATTTTTCAGCTAAAAAAATATTATGCCAATAGAATTCAATGATAGAGAAATCATAGGAAGAATGATATGAATTTAAGGTTCCATTGGCATAGATTAAAACTTCAAGTAGAAAGATGCATGATTTTTTCTTTCTTGAGAAAGATACTGACCATACTTTGAAGGTTAGAAGGCTTGAGATTCAAAATTTATTTCTTCATGCATTCAATTATAAGATTCACTAAATTTATGGCTTGGCCATATGTGATATGATACACTAAAAATGATCTAATATGGTTATGTGATTTTTGACACTAGGATGATGCAAAAAATTCTTTATTAGATTTGATGTACAACTTGATGAATTCTTCCATGAAAATGATAAGTCTAATCATGATTAGTTGTAGATATAAAATTTGAGATTTCCTTTCCCATAGGAGATTTTATGACTCTATCAATTGGAAGTTATATTGCCTCATCTATGATATCACTAGTGATTGCATGTATTCCCTCAAAGATGTGTTGCAAATGTGTCACTAATAATGTATAAGTGGTGAAAAAAGATCATTTACTAATTCTATGTAAATTCTACACCTAGCGGTGATTAGATAACATCCACCCATTTTTCTTTGGAGTATGTAGGCTAGTTTGTGTGATTTGAATCTAGATTCAGAAGAATTGAAAATATCAATGGTATCAATAAAAAGGTGAATTTTAATGAACATTAGTGAATTAGGTAATGTTCATTAAGTAGTCTAGACTATGCATTTCATCAAAATGATTTTTCTCTTTTGACTTTTCTATTATGATTTGTTTGACAACTTGGCATCTATTTGATATTGAATATTTTTAAGGATTGTTTGAATCTCTAGAGGATCAATAAAAGGATTGATTTGAATTCAAAAATATTTTTAAGGATTGATTTTATTTAAAATAAGTTATTAATTAGATATGGACAATGAGAAAAATAATGAGTTTCTATTACAAAATTGATCAATGTTTGCCTTTGAAATAGTGATGTGAATTTGAATTTTAAAATAGTTATTTTAAGAAGGATGACTTCAAGATAGAACTTAACTTTTGGAAGATGACAAAAATAATTTTTAAAACTTTAAACTAATGTATAAGTAAAAGTCAATGTGTAGGACAAAAAAATTCTAGTTCAAGTTTGATTTTAAGGATTAAAGATATTTGAAAATCAAGGTTGTGCTGGTCCAAATCATAGATGATGACACTTACATGAGTTGAGTTGAGGATGACGAAGAGGATGAATGATGCATTGTTGTGTGGCTTTTCTTTTTCTATATAGATTTTCTTTATCATAATATAATCTAGGCAAAGTATTTATTTTTATTGTATGGTCTTATCAAGTTTAACAATCAGCTAAACAACTATATCTATGTGATATTTTTTCATATGAAAACCATTTAAGTCATATGGGTTGTAGGTCTTAGATTGTTTTCCCTTTATACAAAAATATAATATTACTAATCTTGTAAAATTGATAAAGAATTAGTATAAGTACATGTTTTCTCCTCCCTTTATGTCAATGTCAAAAAGACAATCAGTTGTATTATGTGCTATTTGTACAATATCTTTGTGACAAAAAGAATAAGAAAAGAAAATGTAAAACATAACATAATTTTTATTAGAATAGTCCAACTAGTTGAAGCACTAAGGTAGGGAGAGGGGATGAATTAGGTATATAAAAAAAATTTTAAAAAATGGTTCTGAAAAAGATTGATAATCAAGCCTATTTATGTGTTGACTCAAGGAGGAGAACCTGTTAACATATACATTAAGGTTTTTCATGCTAGTAAGATCTTACAATAGTTTTTTCATAACATAAATTTTATCTATTTTTAGTCTCATAGGAAATTAGTAGTGTTAATTATTCTCTTCAAAGATGTTGATGCCCTTTTTGTTACTACAACATAAAATTTATTTATTCTTTGTTAAATATTCAATGAATTTTATGAAGACTTATATTAGATGTTTAAGATCTCTAAGAAATATTCAAAACATATATTGATGATGCTTGAGTAATTCTATGGTTAAAAAATCAAACCTAATAGGTATTTCCTTGAGATACTCATATGGCGAATTTAATACAATAATATAAAGTTTATATATAAGTGTAAAAATTCAAATGGAAACACATGTGATGAAGTTTCTTTAAGGTCAAGAAATATTAAGCTAGATGTAGGATTCGAACTTAAAACCTGAGTGAAGGAAAATTGGAAGCCTCAACAAGAAAAATCATTTAGAAAATCAAGAAATAATGATTCAAATGAAGGATTCAAACTTAGAACTTGAGCGATGGAAAGTTGTAAGCCACAATGAGAAAAACACATGAAAAATCAAGAAATACTAAGTTAAGTATGTGATTTAAACTCAAAACTTAAATAATAAAAAGTCAAAATCTTCATTGAGTAAAATAATTGAAAATCATAAATAAACAAAGACATTGGTAAGGTTCAAACTCATAACCTATACAACAATAAGCTAGAAAGCTAAGTAAAGAAATATGTGAAAAAAATAGAATATTATTGTCTCCAGCATGATTTGAACTTGAGAGCTATATAACAACAAAATGCATGGAGATAACAACAAACTTAACAACTATGTCTATACTCAACACTAGCTTTAAAGATGATCATTGATAAGTTAGGAATTCATTAACCGAGTTTCAAGTATAATAGCTATGATAATAGTGAACTTCAATGTAAAGAATGAGCAAAGGTCATTGTCACACATTCTAGATGGTGGCATGTCAATAGGACACGTGGAGATAACTACAAGCTAAATAAATTTATTTTAACTCAATCTTGAAATTAAAAATGTATATTAATAAGTTCAGAATCTTTAAACAAAGTCTAAAGTATAATAAATATGAGAATAACAAGTTTCAAAGAAAAGAATGAGAAAAGTTCATTAACATGTGGGTAGAGCAACGTGAAGAAATTTGAATTCACATGACTATTTTTAAGAAATGAAAAGAGAGGAAAACGTTAGAAGATAAAAAGGAGCTTACGAAGAAGAATAATAATTTTTATGAAGATATTTTTATTACATTTATTCATGCTCAAAGGAACATTCATCTCCATTTATCACAGAATCTAACATGGGCTTCAATAAAGAATTAAAAGTTGCATCAATAATATATTCATCAGTAGTGATTAACGTCAACATTTACTTCAAAGGTTAACTCTCTCATGTATAAAGGTCAACATTCACTGCTGAAGTATTTTTAGGTACTTGAATAATGAATAGAAAGAGATTTAAGTTAATGATAATTATAAATTAGTAGTTGTATTTATGTATGAATATCTTATATATAGATATTAATTAATAGATAGATAATGTCATTATATATATTATTGACTTATTATGATATTCATAATATTTGATTATTTAAATCTTAATCTATATTATTTTATTTATTTTATTTATATTATGAGACTAACTTCACTTGACTTTTATAAAGTCAAGTAATAATTCTCTCACATTTTTGTGATAATTATTTGATGCAATGACTTATGTGACTCTTATTATGAGTTAGAATAATGAAAGAAGCTTAAGTTTTCAGTCCAAAAAAAAGCCAAGTCTTATAGAAAGGGCCAGCTTAATATGCTTATGAGCCCGAGAGAGGGTGTCACCTTGACCTAGCTCATTTAGACTTAAAAGGACTATCAAGAGATAAGATCTAAGTCACTTATTTTATGGTACCCTAAGATGAGATTAAGAAGAGAATTAGAGTGTCACTCTCATGAAATAATCTGGAACATTCACTAAGAGAGTCAGTTATCAATCATAATCATCTATTAGAGGGGCTTAATTATTTAGAGGTTTAAGACATCTCAACCCCCCCCCCCTCTCTTGGAGGGTGTTTTTTGGCTCTCTCTCTCTAGTAGTGGTTAATTGTAAGAAAAAATAAAAAAAATCAAAATCCAATCAGCAACATTCTTGTTTTAAAATGTATCAAGATGGTTGTAGATTAAGCACCACTAGGACTGATGAACAATGAGGTCTATGTAAGATCTAGATTTAGACATCTTTGTAATCTTCTCTATGGATAGATTAACTCTTAGTTTGAACTAATTTTATTATTTATTCTATCATTCTATTACGTTAGATTCATTATCTCTCCTTTGTCACATCTTTTCTTTTTCTTGTCTTTACCTTTGTTAGATTAATTTCATCCTTCATAATCTCAAGTATATCTATATATATATAAGAAATAAAATAACTAAAATTCTTACTCTCATTACTCACACTTCTTGAGAGTCAACCTTTACTTATCATAAATAAAAGAGTAAAGTTTTATAAATATTATTTACATGAACTTAATTACATCACGATGAAATATCTAACCTCTAAATTGAGTTCATCAATTATGGCACATAGTGTTGAAAGCTTAATTATACTTGAAAAAGGTATGATATTTGCTAAGATCATATTAATGTGGTTGAGCTATTGATCTCATGGAATCATTATTTATTTCTGAAAGAGAATAATGAACCTTGATAGGAAGAATCCTTTGAGATTAGAAGTAGCCAAGTGACAAACAAATTACTATAAAAATTTAATGTGTTAGTGGTGACAAGAAAGTCAAGAGGGAACTTGAGTAGAAAGAAACTACATCGATTAGACTTGTCCTTAGAATAAGATAATTGTGTAAGAACCTATGTAATCACATTCATTCATAGATAAAAAAAATGAAAATAAGAAAAAACCATAGGAAACTAATTCAACCCATCTCATTGAACCTTTTGAAAGATACAGAAAATCCCATGTGATCAACAACCCAACTCTCATGTTTGTATTTGCAAAAACTTAACCATTCTCAAGGCAAATATGATGTGTCATGTGCCTTTGCTAAAGTAACTCTCTTCAACACTTAATTACCTTAGAGTTTGATGGAGAACTTGAGTTATAGTTGTTGAATTATTTGATTTTTGGATCAAGTCAATGAAGAATATGAAGTAAGTTCACTCATCATTTGCACATCTAAATAAGTACTTTGAACTCAATTGGTCAATTAAATAAAAAAATTGAAGATATAAATAAGTACTTTGAACTCAATTGATTAATTCAATATCAATATTAATTACAAGTAATGATCTTATATTATGAACATCTAGTACATTGACTAAACTTTCATACATACAATTTACATCAATAATTATTGATAAATTTGATGTTCAAATCATTATTTTGATTATAGGAAATTTCTATAAATGTTAGTAATTCTCATTGCAAGATATACTATTTTTCAAATTCAACATTATGGTATTAAAATGCATTCCTTGACTTCTTATTCAGATTATTAATATTATTATTTTGGATGTTTTCTTATTTTATTTTAACTAAATTCAAAAGTGTATATAAAATATTAATCAATCATATATCATGCATATATAGTGCTTAACATTATTTAATATTTTATTTTCTTATGCATGTTTGTCATCATCAAAATATTATTAAAGTAGTACTTCAATAATATCTACGTCATCTATTACACATTAGATGTAGACTAAATCAAATTGATTGAGTAAAGATAATGTCAAGAGTGCATTGAATTAATCGTCCTCATTTAGTGATTCAAATTTCAAAGCAATTTTTTATTTTAATGAGAAAAAAATAGGAATGAGAAAGAGAAGAATGATTTTTTACTTGTCACATCACAACAATCATCATCAAGTCTACATCAATTCATAACATATCTTCATGCTAAAGTCAATGCAAACTGCTGAGATATCATTTGGGAAAGTGTCGAACAGATTGAGTAATTTCATCTATTTTTATTTATATTAAATTGAGAGACTAAGTTTCCAATAGTCATGAAATACAAAAGAAAGAAATGTGGAGCATCGCTTATTTTAGGTGTCATAGGGCTGTGAAATCTAGAAAAGAATAGATTGCTTCTTCAATTTTTACCACCAAGAGCTGTAAAATCTAGATGGGGATTTTGGAAATGCTAGAACTATGAAATATAATAGGTTGTTGTTGTATCTAAAAGTCGAAGTGTAAACACTACGATTTATAAGAATTTAAGGATAGAGTTTTGTAAATTTAATGGAACTTGTTGATGATTATTCTTGTTTGTAAATCGTTGACATCAAAGAAAACTATGTCAATTCAACCCCCCATCGGAATATCGTGCCACCAATTAGAAGTCAACACCAACTTCAGCTAATATGTGACAAGCATGCCATACTTTTTCTCCCTTATGAGTTTCTCATTTCAGAATAAATTCATATTTATTGGCTTTATCTGGGTTTTCGAATTCTGTCATATCTCAACAGATGAAGGGTTGACCTAATTACCCACTTCAATCAAAGCTCATTGCCTTCATCTGAGTTTTTGATTTATGTCGTCACATCTCATTAAATGATGGACCTGATAACCCCGTTTCCTTATTTTCTTCAAAGAAACTCCCTCATCATCATAATTTTCACCCTCAGTTTATTACCCTCCGATATTGATCTACTACAGGTGCCAAAGTTGGTGGAGTATACTTTCAAGAAGGGAACCTTCACAGGGCCTACGTACGTGCTAAGCAGAGAGAGGATTCCCCCCCTTCCATTCCCCCTCCTCGCAACCCAACCTACTTACGATAGATAGACCTGCAAGAGCAATTTGATGCTTAATGTGCTCCTTCATTGGTGCAGTAAATGGAAGGCGAAATGCTAATGAGCGTTGACATGATTAGTGAGGGGGTATCACCGTCCGATCAATGAGGGGCGTCCCCTGCTCCCACATTAAGAAAATAATAATAATAATAATTATTATTATTAAATATATATTATGTGGTTTTTTTATCTAGTTTTTGTCGTCTTACCACAGTTGCGGAGGCTGTACTTGAAAGCGACCACGGCCCAGCTAATGGACCGAGACTTTTTCAAGGGCATTTGACTTTGTCCATGATTGATTCGCTGTGTGCTGGACGTCACGTGCCGTGACGTGGCAGATTTCTTGCCGTCAAATACCTGGACAGCAACTCCAGTCAGCTGCATCCGACGGACCCAAGCCGTCTGGAGGTTTCCGATATCCGCCTGGGTCCACCATCGTTCTCACTTGCAGATGCGAAAGAAGCGATCGGGGGTTGGAATAGCAGTATCCGACTGATTCTCCTCCTCGTGGGGAGCTTCTCCAAGCGAGACCTGTGAGGTTTGGTGCTATTCTCATCCTCTTCAGGCTTCCTTGGCCCCAGCCAATCATCTATATGAGAGGCAAGCGAGAAAGCGGGAGAAAAGAGGAGAGGGAGAGGGAGAGTGTGAGAGAGAGAAGTCGGGAATCATCCACAAGATCTAGGAGGCGCTCCACGTCAGCGGCGAGCACAAGGAGGGAGGAGGGCTGATGGATAAGATCAAGGATATGATCAAGGAGAAGCTCCACTACGAGGAGGAGGGAGGGGGCCTTGTGGAGAAGATCAAGGAGAAGATCTACCAGTTGGGGAACGGCGAGGAGGAAAAGGAGGAAGGAGGGGGCCTAAAGGAGAGGATCAAGGAGATGATCAAGGAGACCTTCCACGAACTGGTCTACGGGGAGGAGGAGAAGAAGAAGAAGAAGAAGAAGAAGGGGAAGGAGGGCGAGGAGGAGGAAGAGGAGGAAGAGGAGGAAGAGGAGGAAGAGGAGGAGGAGGAAGAGGAGGAGGAGGAAGAGGAGGAGGAGGAAGAGGAGGAGGAGGAGGAGGAGGAGGAGGAGGAGGAGGAGGAGGAGGACGAAGGAGGGGATGAGTAGGTGGTAGGGGGAGTTTCTTCGAGTTCGACCTCGACCTCTAGGACTAGCTTTCGGTACCTCCTCTCTTTCCCTCTTCTCCCCTACCCCGCCCCTCAATTGTCTCCCCCTGTAAGAAGGATTCCATGATTGAATAACAACCGCCTTCTCCTTGCTCCCACTGTCCTAGTGCTCTCTCTCTCTCTCTCGCTCTCCCCCCCTCTCTATCTCTCTCTCTCGCGGCTCTCTCTCTCCCCCCCTTCTCTCTCTCTCTCTCTCTCTCTCTCTCTCCCCCTTCTCTCTATCTCTCTCTCTCTCTCTCCTTCGCTCTCTCGTTCTTTCTGTCACTCCGATTCTCTCACACCTTTTCTATCTCTCCCTCGCTCACCATCTGTATGTCTCCTTCGCTCTCTCGTTCTCTGTCTCTCTGATTCTCGCTCACTCTGTTAATATCCCTCTCTCGCTCAGTATCTCTGTCTCCCTCTACCTCTCTCTCTCACGCACTCTCTCTCTCTCTCTCTCTCTCTCTCTCTACCCTGCTGACTCCGAGCTTCGTCCCCCTCAGGCTTGGAGCCCATTTCTTATTACATATATATCTTAAATTGCACGTTGGTTCCGGAGGTTTCGGATAGGCCGAACTTAGAGGGCACTAGAAAATATCCTTCAACGATAGGTGTACTTTACTGTGAGTCGCTCCACTTTCCATGTATCATGGGATCATAAGCCTCATGGGAACGAACAGAAGAGGCGATTCCCCACGCAGCTGGGCCAAACAGCAAGCTCGAGTTGTTTCTCCCTCGTGTCAGCGGAGCGAAGTAGGCAACGCTCACCGGCGCCGGCGCCGGCAACCATCGCTTCCGCCGGCGAAGGGGGATGGGGGAGTAGGCAACGAGGCGGCGCCACCGGCGACGACGTGGAAAAGCTGCAAAAGGATACCCGAATACGAGTCCCAGTTGGACACGGTACAGGACATTAGAATCAGATTATATCCTTTAACAGGCAAGCTCTCTAGACAAGCCAAAGATGATCATATAAAACTAATTAATCATCGATGAGATGCTGACTTTATATGGAAAGCAGATTCAAAAATCTCACATTTTTTCTAGTCTCTCAGCATTAAATTCTAAAATAGTTGTAAACCAATATCAAACTATTAAGGGTTGATAAGGGTTCATATATCTTCTAAGATAAATCATGATTATCAGTCACATATGTTCATATCCCAAGGTTATATTTTCAAATAGATCTGATGAGAAATTCTATCATTGAAATAGAATTCATAATACATCTCAACGTAAAGTAATATCTTATGATTAAAAACACATTCAAATACTTTGAAATTCTGAATGGCCGAATAAATACTTTGAAATCAATTGATTAATTCAATAGCAAGAGTACCCAAAGACAATGATTTTACATTTAAAGCATCTTGTACACTCAATAAAATTTCATACACATATTTTACTTTAGTTATTCTCAATAATTTTAATGTTCACGTCATTACTTTTTGTTAGAGTTAATTTCTATAAATACTGGTAATACTTATAATAAGATGCAAAGTAATAATCTCAGAGTAGTGAAATCTATCAAATTTCATAATTCAATATTTAAATATTTAATATTATGACTTTAAGTTATTTCTTATTTTAATTCAATTAACTTCATACTCATACATAAAATACTATTCAATCATGTATCATGCATAAAGAGTATACAATTCAATTCATTGATTTGTCTTATTTGTGTTTGTCATCATCAAAATATTATTCAACTAATGCATTAGTGGTATCCATGTCATTTATTACAAATTGGCTATAAACTACATAAAATGAATCACACAAAGATAACATCAACTATGGATTGTAGTTAATTGATTGAGTCTTCATTTATTTTCATTTGAATAAGAAGAAGAAAAGAAAAACGAGAATAGAAAAGAGATTTTTTGTTCATCACATCAAAATGATCATCACCAAGTCTACATTGATTCATAATGTACCTTTAGATAATGATTGGATAATTTTACTTATCTTTATTTATATTAAGTTATGAAAGATAAAGTCCCTTACAGCTGTGATATATGGAGGAAATATTTTTTTTATGCCCTTGATTTTGATAATTAAAACTGAAAATCTGTTGATAAGTTACATACTTAGCAAAAAAAATCAATCATACACTCTAAATAAAGCCTATTAAAATCAGACCATTTTATTAGGGATCATATACAAACAAGGGGTAATTTAATTCAATTTTATTAAGACATTAAATTAATTAACATATATTTCAGAAAAAATAATTTAAAAATAGTTTATTCTAAGTTTTTTGCTTTTTATTAATTTTTTATGAGTAAAATATGTCATTACTATGCATATACACTTATCCTAATACATGTGAAATAACTTTTTTAAATAATTGAAACTATTTGATTAACTTTTATTAGGTTTGATGTGGCTAAGTGGAACACCAAGAGGGAGATGAAATTGACTCCCTATGTTTTATATTCCATTATACTTTATTGTTCTATCTACATATGTATATGTCGACACATATTCACACATCGTCTCTCAGCTATGTGTGTGGTTTCACTTAAGTTTGTTCTCTTTTCATCATGCGCTCACCTTAGTCTCTCTCTCTCTCACTCACTTGTAACTTTGAGAGATACAAGAGTTTTTATACTAGTTCATCATTTACCAAACTATGTTTAGTTTTGAAGGATTTTCTTATTGAATTTCACTATTTTTTTCTGAAGATATAACGGATTTCATAGAATCAACAATTCAAACATCTCTATTTGTTCTCCATAGTGATCACACCTCTCACGAACAAGTCTTGACTCTCAACTTTATATGCCTAAGTCAATACTTTCTCAGAGACCACACCCTCCATGGACACTTTTCAGCACTTAGTACCTCATGTCTTATCTTAGCCCTCTCTCCACTCACCACCTAGGTTATTTTAAAACCTAATATAAAAAGTCAACCTGTAACACAATTTGTTGACTCATATCACTGCAAGCCCTGAAATATATAGGACTAATGAAATCCATGCTATAGATCTTAAGTATGATATATAGAACTATTTTGAAATAGAGGAAAAAATAATTAAATCATATTTATTTAGGTGAATGTTTGATTTATTATACTTTAAATATATATCTAACATTAGTCATGGCTAAAGCTGAATATACATCAGCTCATATTTGTTATGTTCAAATAGTTTGGACAAAAGTGATTTTATATTAAGTTTTTGCTTTTTATCAAAATTTCATGAATAAACATATTAGTCTGTGTAAACATTTTTTTTGACACGTGAAATAAAAAAATGAGCTTTATTGTATGATTAAAATTAAAGAATTGAACAATATATCTAATGTTGCTTCAAACTTTAAAATATAAAATATTTTCATTACATTCCTTACTCCATAAAAAGGTCAAAACTTCACATTCACTCTCCCATCTCCTGATCTAGGAAAAATCATTTACCTTCTCCAATCAAGATCATCTAATAAACTTTTCAAGCAAAGTTGGAATCAAGTTCCAATGGTTCGTATCTTGAATTTAAAATCAGATATACTTGTTTTATAGAAACATTTCTTGTATTTACATATCTGACACATTTTGGTCAATCTCTCTTCTTATAAATCCTAAAACAAAAAATAGTTGATACTTGTTGATATTTTTTCTTATCAAACCTTCCAAGATCTAAAATTATTTCAAAAAGTTAAAAAAATAAAAGGATAATGAAATAAGCATCAGCTTCTCTCCAAAAAAGGACTATCCTTTCACCAACTTCAATAATAAACTTGTTTCTTATCTTGTGCCCCCATCTGAAACCCAAGCCCTCAATGACCATTACACTAGAAGTACTACCAATAGCGTCAAAACTTTATCTTGTAATGCCACACATCAAATAACAACTCTCATTGATCACACAATTTCCTCTCTAAATCCAAGTTCACATGCTTATTATTTGTTGACCTACATAATGATCAAATTGAGCTTCCTCACCAAAAAATACATAGTTGGAATCCATAATGATTGAAAATGCTCAAACACCACCAACATATTATTCCTAAATCTTTGAATATTATTTCCCCTTTTTTAATTTTGAGATTAAATTTCAATCATCATTTAAGAAATTAAATGTATTAGTTGGAAATTAGATATAACTTGCAAATATCTACCTTGAACTTGTAAAAATATTTTACAACTATATTTTTGAGATAATTGTATCAATAAAATTTACTTCAAAGGGAAAAAAAATGATCTTACATATTAGTGGTTTCTACATTTCCATCTTTTAAATCCCCTCAGCCCCTAAATTAGTTGGTTACATATTAGTAGTTAATACATTTCATTCCTCCTTAATTAGGATGCCAAATATAAATGTGCATAGTATCATGTTTTTTTGTTGTCTCTTATCATCTAGACTAGTTGATTTATTATCATTAATCTACTTTCATACAATAGTGGTGTTTATGATAGAGTTTCAAAAAAAATCTGCAACTTTAGATGATTGCATCTTTGAGGGCATTCTTCTAATCTTTCATATCTCATTGGTAGAAAAACTGCCATCAAATATGATGTAATTCTTCCACTATACATTATAATAACATGCATCTTCAAATATTTTTTTTAGATCTGTTTGAGGAAGAATCAACAAATAAGATAAATTTAATTGTTGTCTCCAAGATATCATCAACAAATCCACTCTATTTGACATTCATTATATCCTACATGATGACCAATGATCTATTGTTTATCTACTAGCTCTATTACCTCTTTTTTCACTTCTAATATGCTTGTTTTTGTTGTTTTTTTATCTTATGTTAATAAATTTAACAAAAGTATTGATCATGTAGAGCAATGGATCATGTTATCTGAAGAAAGACCATTAAACTTGAAGATAATATATTTTAGATTAAATCCTTTTTTCATGATTTTTAATTTTATATGAAGAATTGAGTCTTTCTAGTCAATTTGGGTTGATAAAACTAATCCAATGCATAGATTTATAAGAGTACTCATTAAGGAAGAATTCATAACTATTTATAATGCTTAATGATGAGTAATGATGAATCTCAAAACCTTTATATGTGAATAAATTTATAAACTTATTATTTAAATATATCTTCTTGTTATGGTCAAGTATAATGAACATTTGATCTTTATGGTACTATATTGATATTATATACTTGAATAAATTTTCTTAACGATTTTATAAGTATCAGCAAAGAGGAAACTGTTGATGTCATTAATTTTGATAATAAAAAGTGAAAATTTATTGATAAGCGATTATTTACTATCTCTACTTATTTATGTGTCACTCATATGTTTTCAATATTTGATATATTTAAAAGTTATTAAATAAAATTTACTTATTAAATGATTTTGAGATTATTACTAATGATGAAATTTAAGACATTAATACCTTATATTAAGTGATTTTCTATCACAAGAATAATTTTAAAATTAAATATTATCAGCAGAAAAATCATCTTGAAATGAAAGGTTATGCCAATGCAAATTAGATAAAATATTTTATCTTTGATTATATGATGATATAACTACCCTATATAGTGTTTACCATCTCAAAATGATATTACCCATGTTCCTTAAGATATCATGTGCATTAAGTAAATAAGAAAATGAGAAAAAAGATTCAATATTCAAGTTTTGAAAATAGTATCTCGACAGTGACACATCAATTGTTTATACAGACAAAAAGTGAAAATAAATTTGATGATTTTCATTTGGTATGGATAACTATATTCTTTGTTAAATTAAGAACTTTAAAATTCAATTTGAATAGAAATGACCGCAATAATAAAGAGACTAAAATTTTGGAAGTATAACTATGATAACCTTGCCTTATGAAAAATGATATGTTCTTGAAAAGAGTTTTTGAACATTGAAGGATATGGTAAAATAAGAAAAAAATGGTATAAGATGAAGACTGATTTATAGAAGTAGAGTTAAAAAATCCAATACTTTTTTAAATAAGAAGAGTTATTTCACCATCAAGTTCTTCACATTGTGTGCATCAATGGCACTTGAAAATGATATATCCTCTTCATCAACTGAATCTAACAAATGATCAATTCAATTATTGTGACCTTTGCTCTCCATTTTTTCTTAAGGTAATTGGGTGATGAAGGGAAAACATTTTTAATAAATGCATGAGGTATTGGTAGTCATATTTGACCTGAAAGAGACTAGTTCTTTGACTAAATAAATTTAAGTTATTTGAGTGGATGATCTCATAAATATGAACATATTTTTTAGGGGATTAAGTGAAAACTAGAAGGATTTTCTCTCTAGTACTAGAAGTATCTAGGTGATGAATGAACCATTATAAAATGTTTGATGTTCTTAGTAAGAGAATGTTGAGAGGTTTTTTGGTGTGCAAGCCTAAATATGACTACCATAAATAGGTCTTCTAAAAAATATGAAAAAAATCATAGAAAGCCTAAATCGATCACTTTTTGGTGTTTCACTTAGCTCTATAGTTTAAATAAGAAATGTACAATTTATTTGGTGTTATATATATTAGAGCTGCAAATCTAGAAAAGAGAAGTTGATTATTTCTCTTATTTTGGTCACTTAGAGTCATAGAATTTAGATATAAATTGAGAAAATATGAGTTGCAAAAATTAAGTAATCCATTAAATTTTGTGCCTAAAACTAAACACATAAACACTAAAATTTAATAGAATTGAAGGTCAAGTTTTATAAATTTAAAGTAATTTATTGATGATTATCATTGTTTGAAATTTAATATTCTATGGCAAAAAAAATTATATCAGTTCAACCCTCTATCTTGATATTGTGCACCAATTAGAAGCTAACACTACCTTAAATTAATATCAGCCAAGCATGCCATCTTTTTCCACCTAAACTGGTTTCTCATTTCAAAATAAATTCTTAGCTCATTGCCTTCATATGGGTTTTTGAACTCTATCATCACATCTGACCAAGTGAAGGGTTGACCTAATAACCCTACATAATAAATCAACACTCATTGACTTCATTTGACTTTTTGATTTATGTTGTCTAGATGAAGAAATGACTTGATAACCCAATTCATTATTTTCTTCAGAAACTCCATCACTATCATAATTCTTATCCTCGTCGTATCACCCTCCTAGATTGTTCTACTACTTGGTCACAGGGACTACTTACGTTCCCCCTCCTCGCTACCCAACCTGCTTAAGGTGGACCTGATCGTGTAGTAAATGGCTGGCCCAGGGCTAATGGGCGTGAACATGATGGGCGCCATCACCGTCCGGTCGTGGGGGGGCCCTGCCTCCACCCTTTAAAAAATAATAAATAAATAAATATATATCTATATATATATATTATGTGGTTGTTTATCTAGTTTTTGGCTTCTCACGACAGTTAAGGAGGTCACTTCAAGAGCGTTGTGGTTACCGCGTTGACGATATCCCGCCGCGTGGTCAGGTAGCTAGATGGAAAGAGACCACGGCCCGACTAACATGACCGGAACTTTTTCAAGGGCAACTTTGTCGATTAATTTGATTCAGTCAAGAATTGTCAATAATTGACCGTGGCAGATTTCTCGCCGTAGGATGTCTGGACGAGAACTTCATCCGACGGACCCAAGCTGTCCTGGGGTTCCGATGTCTGCCTTTTCCCCTCACCTTCAGATGTCAACGTGGGAAATAAAGCGATGAGGGGGTACGAATAGCAGTACCTGACTGATTCTCGTCATAAATGGGAAGCATCTCCAAGCGAGACCTGTGGGTTTTGACGCTATTCTCATCCTCTTCATGCTTCCTTGGTCCCAAGCCAAAGAACCTATAAATGAGGGGCGAACGAGAAAGGGGGAGATAAGAGGAGAGGGACAGAGAGACAGAGAGCGAGAAGGCGGGAATCATCCACAAGATCGAGAAGGCGCCCCACGTTGGCGGCGAGCACAAGGAGGGAGGAGGACTGATGGGGATGGGGAAGATCACGGATAAGATCAAGGAGAAGCTCCGCCACAAGGAGGAGGAGGGAGGAGCCCTTGTGGAGAAGATCAAGGAGAAGATCCACCATTTGGGTCACGGCGAAGAGGAGGGAGGAGGCCTGAGGGAGAAGATCAAGGAGAAACTCCACAACCTGGGCCACGGGGAGGAGGAGAAGAAGAAAAAGATGAAGAAGAAGAAGGACAAGAAGGAAAAGAAGGAGGGCGAGGAGGAAGGTGAGGGGGGAGGCGAGGGGGAAGGCGAGGAGGACGAAGAGGAGGAGGAAGAGGAGGAGGAGGGAGGGGAGGAGGGAGGGGAGGAGGGAGGGGAGGAGGGAGGGGGACGCTTCGGATTTCTCCTCGACTTGCTCGAATCTGTCATCGCCGAGTAGGAAGGGTTCCATACTCTCTCCACCGCAAGGACACCGCCTTCTCCTTGCTCCATACTGTGCCTCCCTCTCTCTCTCTGTATCTATCTCGCTCTCTCGCTCTCTCGCTGACGCGGGGCTTGGTGAGCTTCCTGTTTGGGGCCATTTTTAATCCATATTGTTTAAATATTTTCCAAATTGGAAGTTGGTTCCACTACTCCGAGAGTTTTCCAAACATCGTGCAACGGTGGCTGCACTTTCGTGTACTGTTAGTCCTCGTACACCACACTGCGGGCCCCATGCTTTCCTCCGTGGACCCGGCAATTTCATCAGGTCATAAGCCTCATGGGAAGGAACAGACGAGGGGATTCCCCACGCAGCTGCGCCAAACAGCTAGCTCGATTTGTTTCTCTCGTGCGCGGTCAGCGGAGCGGGTTGCGGGCGGCCGTCGCTCCCGACCCCAGGAAGCTCTCTGAGTCCCTCTCTCTCTCTCCCGCCCTCTACCAACCATCACAACCGCTGGCGAGGGCGATGGCGGAGTTGGTGGCGCCGCCGCCGCCGCCGCCGCCGGCGACCATCTCCACCGTTGGTGAGGGGGACGTCGGAAAAAGGATACCCGAATCCGAATTTGATCCGAACCGTAAACGTTAGAGGACATCTAATCGGGTTGTTACCGTCAATAATGAAGAAATAAAGGGGCCGGACAGCCGCTCAGAGCTGGACAAACGAATACTAGAATCGGAGTGAATCCTTTAACAGGGGTTAAAGGATAGATTTGGAGCTCCAGCGGGGGAATCAGCACCCACCGACTCCGTCAGGGGTCTCACCAACCTTCTCCGTCACTGTGGGGCCCGCTCCAGCGTGGCCTCCTTTTCTTCCTCCACCACTCGCATGTGGACACGCACCCCACCCCTCTCCTTTGTTCCCGTCACTCTGAGAGAGAGAGAGAGAGGGTGGGGGTGGGTGGGAGTCTATAAATATGGATGAACGGCTCCCTCTCAGATTCGCGCCTCTCGGACTGCCCTTCTGTACTGTAACGCTGCTGCAGCCTGTTCCCATCGAGATCCAGGCCAGAGCACTTAGCAGATCCCCCCCCTCCTCCGAGGAGGTAATGGTTCCCTTGCGTCTCTCTCTCTCTCATTCTCCTTCTCCGTCTCTTTGTCTTTCTTCTTCTTCTTCTTCTTCTTCTTCTTCTTCTCCTTCTCCTTCTCCTTCTGCGTCTTCTTCCGAACCTTTAGATCCTTCTTCTGGTGTGTTCAGATCTGACTAGATCTGGCGATTTCGTCTCTTGTTGTTCCTGCGGCCTACTCAAACCCAAAGGTGGCTGCTGTTGTGATGCTTTTTGATGATTTTAGGCAGGAAAGGATCAGATCTGATTCTTGTTTTTCTTAAAGTCCATCTTTTCTTATGTTTGGTTCGCGTTTTGAGTCCTTGTTCTGCGTCATTCTGGTCGGATTTTGGTTTATGTAGATTCATCGATGGTGAGAGTTTTCTGGGCAAAGCACATCGAGTTGGTTGGCTACTCTTTTTCGTGGTCCTAGATTTACCGTTCACAGTTGTTTGAGATCTGGTTTGGGTGGCGAGGATGGTAAAAGGATCGATGCATATTCATTTGGTTCTTATATCTGATCGAAGCTCATCAGAGCAATAGAGATCTAGGCCAAATTTCCCAGTTGTCTTCCTCTGGTTGTGATTGTGGGATGAGATCTGTGTTTCCTCCAGTCACTCGTAGTACAGATCTGGGGGCACTGGACGTGTTTTTTATCATATCTTTGAATCCACCGAGTTGTTGTTTTTATTATAAATGCATGTGAGGCTTCGAAATTATGCCCAGTGTGGTCTGCACTCCCTCATGGCCCACTTTCTGTCATCGTCTGCTGGAGATCTCTTGTTGTATGGTGTTTTCTCTTTGCCTCGTTTTTTTAATTCTGCCTTACTCTTTAGTTATAAATCTGACGATGACTTTTCTGGTCTCGCATCTGATGATATTTGTTGGGAGATCTTCCTTTGAGGTTTACTGCCAGGTATACTTATTGAGATAAATATATTCTTAACCTTTTATATTGTCGTTGACCAGAGATGGCGTCCCACATCGTTGGATACCCTCGCATGGGACCCAAGAGAGAGCTCAAGTTTGCCTTGGAGTCCTTCTGGGACAAGAAGAGCACGGTTGAGGATTTACAGAAGGTTGCTACCGACCTGAGGGCCTCCATCTGGAAGCAGATGGCTGACGCCGGGATCAAGTACATTCCCAGCAATACCTTCTCGTACTATGACCTTGTACTTGACACCACGGCAATGCTCGGTGCTGTCCCTGAAAGATATGGTTACACGGGTGGAGAGATTGGGCACGAAATCTACTTCTCCATGGCTAGGGGTAACGCCTCTTTGCCTGCTATGGAGATGACCAAGTGGTTTGACACGAACTAGTGAGTTATCCATGAGACCATCTATTCGTAATGTTCTTTTTCATATAAGTCTTAACCGCAGTTACCTTTACATTGTCTCATCAAATGCGTTAAACGTTCTTTGTTTTCTCTGGTTCAGCCATTACATTGTCCCCGAGCTTGGGCCACACACAAAGTTCTCCTATGGTTCTCACAAGGCTGTGTCTGAATATAAGGAGGCTAAAGCTGTAAGTGACAATGTCACACATTTTTCGTTCAGTGAGCAGCAAATTTTGTCCTCAGCTTTATACTCATGTGTGTTAATGGCATTGGGTTTGAATAAGTGATCATTCATAAATCCACGCCTATCTTGATTTGTCTTTTGTTCTGGCATTCATTTGACTTCGAGATTGTTCTCAAGTTTCACCCACGTAAATTGAACATCTCTCAAATGAAGAACAATACAAAGTCCAGATTCATCCATATTTCTCTGCTGCATTTTAATTGTTAAACATTTGTTTTACCTTCTCCTCATCCTGTGAGTTTTTTTTTCATTGCTAACCTCTCATATTTTCACTGTGTTTTTGGTACAGCTTGGGATCGATACAGTTCCTGTTCTTGTTGGGCCAGTGACCTACTTGTTGCTGTCAAAGCCTGCAAAGGGAGTAGAAAAATCGTTCTCTACCCTGTCTTTGCTGGGAAGTGTTCTGTCCATCTACAAGTAAGAATTCCAACTTGTCCAGTCTTTGGTGTTAAGTTCACCATATGTGCGTTGTTTGCTTCGATCCATGGTTGGTAACCAGAGCTGTGTTATGCACAGGGAGGTTATTGCTGAACTCAAGGAAGCCGGTGCTTCATGGATTCAATTTGACGAGCCCACTCTCGTCTTGGATCTTGACGCCCAAAAGCTGGAGGCTTTCACACAGGCTTACTCTGAATTGGAATCTTCATTGTCTGGTTTGAATGTGCTTATTGAGACCTACTTTGCTGATGTTCCTGCCGAGGCTTACAAGTCAGTTGCAGTTGTTTCCTTGTCTTCTATCCCATATTCCCCAGTTTGCAATGTCACTTTTTGCACGGTAACTAAATCATTTGCCGCTGATTTCGTTTTCCTTTAGGACTCTCACCTCGTTGAATGGCGTCTCTGCATTTGGCTTTGATCTTGTTCGTGGAACCAAAACTCTGGATCTGATTAAGTGTGACTTCCCCGCCGGCAAGTACCTTTTTGCTGGAGTTGTTGATGGCAGGAACATTTGGGCCAATGATCTAGTTGCATCCTTGGCCACCCTCGAATCCCTCGAGGCCATTGTTGGCAAAGGTGGTTATATCTTCATTTGCATTCTGGCTTTAGGGGTTGTTGAAATGTGCTGCTCATCACTCATCTTCTGTTGCTTTTTGACAGACAAGCTTGTTGTCTCCACTTCGTGCTCTCTCACTCACACTGCTGTGGACTTGATAAATGAGACCAAGTTGGACGATGAAATCAAATCGTGGCTTGCTTTTGCTGCTCAGAAGGTTGTTGAAGTGGATGCCCTGGCCAAGTCATTGGCTGGACAGAAGAATGAGGTATTAATACTATCGATGTAGTATTCTCTTGGAACTAGAGTAGATCCGAGTGAGAGACTTTGTATTATCTATCTATCATATTACGCAGAGGGCAAGATGGCTCAATTTTACGTTTGGAATGTTCAGGCGTTTTTCTCAGCTAACGCGGCTGCCTTAGCTTCGAGGAGGTCATCCCCCAGGGTTACAAATGAGGCGGTCCAGAAAGCTGTAAGCATTGTTTAGGAAAGTCGTTGCCCACTCAGCCCACATATGGCGTAACACTTGTTTCCTTAACGAAGAGTTTTGATCTTGTGCTGTGTAGGCCGCTGCGTTGAGGGGGTCTGACCATCGCAGGGCAACAAATGTCAGCGCTAGATTGGATGCGCAGCAGAAGAAGCTCAACCTTCCCCATCTTCCCACCACCACCATTGGGTCCTTCCCTCAGACCATTGAGCTCCGACGGGTCCGCCGTGAGTTCAAGGCAAACAAGTACGCGACCTTAGAAAAGAGCTAACCAGAAGACAGTTGCATCCCCAGAAGTTGTCACTAATTTCTCGACGACATTCTCCTTTTTCTTTCCTTTCTAGGATCACCGAGGAGGAGTACATTGCGGCCATCAAGGAGGAGATTAAGAAAGTCGTCAAGCTCCAGGAGGATCTCGATATCGATGTCCTCGTCCACGGAGAACCCGAGGTGATGTGATGTGATGAGAGAAGTGGCTGCGAGTGGGCTGCGACCTTGAACGAGGAGAGAAACTGACTTGACTCGGCCTTTTTCTAATCACGCAGAGGAACGACATGGTCGAGTACTTCGGCGAGCAGCTCTCCGGGTTCGCGTTCTCGGCCAACGGCTGGGTCCAGTCCTACGGGTCGCGGTGTGTCAAGCCGCCGATCATCTACGGCGACGTGAGCCGCCCCAACCCCATGACCGTCTTCTGGTCCAGCCTCGCCCAGAGCATGACCGACCGCCCCATGAAGGGCATGCTCACCGGCCCGGTCACCATCCTCAACTGGTCTTTCGTCAGGGACGACCAACCCAGGTGAGGCTCGCCCCCGGCTCTGGATTCTCTCCTCCGGCCACGCAGAGCCGTGACCCTCTTTCGCCACCTCCCAGGTTCGAGACCTGCTACCAGATCGCCCTGGCCATCAAGAACGAGGTGGAGGATCTCGAGGCCGCCGGCATCCAGGTCATCCAGATCGACGAGGCCGCCCTGAGAGAGGGCCTTCCCCTCCGCAAGTCCGAGCAGGCCTTCTATCTGGACTGGGCCGTCCACTCCTTCCGGATCACCAACTGCGGCGTCAAGGACACCACGCAGGTAACCCCACTCGACCACACCCCTCCCCTCTCTTCCCCTTGAATCCAACGGCGTCAACCGGAACCTAACCTCTCAATGCTTGTTCCCGTGCGATCTGCAGATCCACACCCACATGTGCTACTCCAACTTCAACGACATCATCCTCTCGATCATCGACATGGACGCGGACGTGATCACCATCGAGAACTCGCGCTCCGACGAGAAGCTCCTGGCGGTGTTCCGCGAGGGCGTCAAGTACGGCGCCGGCATCGGCCCGGGGGTCTACGACATCCACTCCCCGCGTATCCCCTCTGCGGAGGAGATCGCCGACCGGATCAACAAGATGCTGGCGGTGCTCGACAACAACATCCTCTGGGTCAACCCCGACTGCGGCCTCAAGACCCGCAAGTACGCCGAGGTCGTCCCCGCCCTCACCGCAATGGTCCAGGCCGCCAAGCTCCTCCGCGCTGAGCTCGCCAGCGCCCACTAAACCTGACCTATTCCTATTTATTATGCACCTCTTCTCCCGGGGCCCTGCCCTCTCGCCTTTCCGTGTCGTGGGTCTTGCTTAGGTCGGATATCTCTTCGCATCCTATCCTATCATATCATATCATATCATCATATCATTCCTGTATTCCTCTCTTCTTCTTCTACCTCTATCCCATTTCCCTTTTTGTCTTAGAGCTGATCATCCCATCCCCCCTTCCCAAGAAGAAAATTGTATCCGTCACGAAGAAGTTGATGAAGTGCTACTGCCCTCTCTCTCTCTCTCTCTCTCTCTTATTTACTTCGACTTGTGAGATGAGAATACGAGTCAGATCCATAAATATCGAAGAGAGACTGCCTGGGTTGGGCTGGCCCGGTTGGGCCGGGCCGAGTAGATCCTCGAGATAACATGGGCCTTGGAGTGCTTAGCCGTTACGGAGCCCATAAATATCGAGGGGGTATATCTCAAATATGAGATCCAATAATGGTATTTACTAAATATTGAACGGTACGTCGTAAATCTGCACTGAACCGGAGGAGATCGTCGAGAGGATGTGGGCCTTGGAGCCCATGGGCGTCACCGGGTCCATTAATATCAGAGTATTTATCAAATATTAGTTTCAATAGTGGTAAATATTAAATCTTGAACAGGTCGAGGCGGGTAAGTCGTAAAACCACACCGAACTGGGCCGCGGATGTCCTCGGGAGAATGTGGCCCTTGGAGCGCTTGGGCAGTACCGGGCCCATTAACATCGAATGAGTATTTCTCAAATATAATATTCCATCAAGGTTCTAAAATGTTGTCGCTATTATCATGATATTTCTTAAATGGTTATGAACACCGAAGGGGTATGTCTCAAATACAAGATTCAATTATTGTAATTATTAAATGTTGAACGGTTGGACAGGGTACGTAAACCCAACCGCCCATCAGCCTCACGTTTCGCACCTACCACGATCTTCCTCTCCGTCAACAACCAAGCTAAGAAAATTATTAAATAACCTTAATAAACTAATTATGGCTTCTACGGTCGCTCACTTATACCCGTAATTATTAAATAATTTCTTCTTCGCGAGACTTCTGCGCAAATGCCGACTGCCACAGATTTATTCACCATCGTCCACTAACAGGAGCTCCGCTTTACTCTCTATCGTTCTGTCGCAGAGCTGGTGAGTGGGGATGGCACGGGTGTTGGTTGCTCTCGCCGGCGTGTTCCTGGCTGTGGCGGTGTACTGCGGACTTGATCCCTTCAAGAGGGGCGCAATGGTGGGGTTCCCGGGGTTCGAGGTGTACCCGGTAGACCAGCCCCCGTGGTCGGAGCTTCCCACGGCGCAGGACGCGGAGAACCTGCTCCAGAAGGCGGAGCTGCGATTCCTGGGCCAGGTGCAGGGCCCCGAGAGCGTGGTCTTCGATCCGAAGGGGAGGGGGCCCTACGCGGGCGTCGCCGACGGGAGGGTTCTCTTCTGGGATGGCAACTCCTGGACTGACTTCGCCTACACTTCCCCCAACAGGTGATTTCCCATCTCTTCGAAAGATTCCTCTCCGAGCTACAGCGGAGCAAATACTCAGTTTGGATTCCGCTATATCTATTTGTTTATTTCTTTATTTATTAATCCCTGTTTCCTCCCCCCGGGCGTCAAGGAGTTGTCTGTTTTTTTTTGTACTAAAATATCTGACGTTTTCCAGTCGAAGCTCCCGGGAAAATTTTGTCGTCTCTACATTTAGATCTGGTCAAACGTCTCGGTCGGTATGAGCTGAGGTGCCATGTCGGAGTAATCAATCCCACTGTTCTAAGAGACGTTTAAATGGGATGGATTTAAATATGTGAGTTAATAAAAATCTCCACAGTGGGTGAGCTGTATTTAAATGAATAGGTCCGTTGCGATTACAACCAACTGCTCTCTAGCTGGACGATCAAATTATTCAACATGAAACTGTAGCAGATAGTTATGTTACGAAGGTAGATATTTTGGGCTTTCTATGTATGCCAAAAAGCCCAAAATTTGCTCTGCTCGGTTGAGGGTACCGTCTGAACGTACACCTGAAGGTGTGGGGTATCTTGGATTAGTGTCCTGCTGATTTGACTTAAATGTCCAAATTCCTGAACTTTATCATCTTCTTGAGCGTCATACTCTGTGATGAGCTTATCATGAGAGAGGGTGGGTTATTTACCCGTTAACTGGTCATACGCGGAGAAGGGTAAACTTCACTCGTTCTCAATTGCTTCCGAATTTGACTGCCCAGTTAGTTCCTCAGTAGCTTGGGAAAGTCTTGGAAGACGTCTTCTTCAAGATAGAGGTCGTATGGACCCATTAGTTTAATGGATCTTTTTGGGTTTAGCCCGAGATTTTTTTATATGTATTACCATTGCTTGAGGTTCTCTCATAATCTCATAATTTCTGCGTGGACTACTGTCATTGTAGAAAAATTGATTTTATGAAGGATCATGGACTCGAACTGGAGAAGCTCTTTGGGTCTCTACTGTATTCGGGAGTGGCACACTTATTACAGTGAGAGTGCAATGCCGCCTTCATCTAAAAGAAGACCCTCATAACGTTGTGCCGTTGTTTATGGCCATGGCCATAGCTGGACAAGAATGAGATCTATGCACGTATAACTGCTAGCTCGTTTCTCCTGCTGGAACCGAATGAGCAGCCTCCTTATATCTCTGGTCTGTGTGATTCTTCGGTGATGATGAGCAATAAATTTTTTATATTACTTATAGTTGATGAAATTAGAGCTTGCATGCTGGACACAACCCTTATCCTGTATAATCCATGGTAGCCATGAGAAGTCCTCGAATTTTCCATTGAATGCATGCCACCCCATCAATTAGCCCATGAAGCTAATCACCAACTTCCCTCAGCTAACTTGATCATTCCCCTACAGACCCTTGTGAGGTCAGGTGGGAAGGAAAGCTGTGTGCCCGTCCTTAGAGCCATTATGGACTTGCTTTTACCTTGGTGCATCATAATTTGTCTCTGTTTAGCCTTTCAATGGGTTTCATGCTTAGTCGCTCTTATTATTCCAAAACATTGAAAAAACTAATTCTTCTGCACAAAAAATTAGGACGTTCTTAATATTTGGCGGAAGGTCTTGGAAAGCCCTTGCTTTGACGTTCTTATATTAATTATTTTTATTTTGGTTTCTTTTGAATTATTTTGTAGGTCAGAGCTATGTGATCCCAAACCTTCACCAATGCTTTACTTAAAGAACGAGCACATCTGTGGACGACCCTTGGGTCTCCGCTTTGACAAGAAATCTGGAGATATGTACATTGCTGATGCTTATTTTGGGCTGTTGAAAGTTGGGCCCGAAGGAGGGCTGGCTACGACCCTCACCACTGAAGCTGAAGGTGAACCACTGGGGTTTACAAATGACTTGGACATTGATGACGAAGGGAATGTGTACTTCACTGACAGCAGCACGACTTATCAAAGGAGGTGTGCTCATCTCACTTTCTCAATTATGCTTCAACGATGCATTCTCTCACAGTTGCGCTGCATTGGAAGAAAATATTAGTGCCATGCACTGTAATCTTGGTGCCTTTTGCATCCATTTCTATTTCCACATTGTGTTGCGCTAGATGGAACCCTATGTAGATGCTATATCTGGTGTTTTTATCATTCAATTCTGGATTTGGGAATTTTCTTCCACGTGGTATAGTTTTTTATCTTGCTTTCTTGTGGAATGGATTGATTGCCCCGTTAAAAATGAAGAATTTAAGTTTTCATAAGAAATGTAGGAAATTACTGCTGTCAGTCTGTGACCTTTATTGGTCACTAAAACTATTGGCATTGGCGTCTGACTAGGGAGGAAGGTGTGAACTGTGATTTATTTTCCTCTCTGCACAAACTTTGGCCCATCGGATGATACTTTCTCGCACTATAGTGTGAACTTTATGAAACATTGGTGGAGCTGTAAACAAGCCCCGGTCATCTGCTGATACATAACTATTCCCCCCTTAACGTCTGTTTCCTGTGCTTTCAGGAATTTCATGCAGCTCGTCTTCACTGCCGAGCCCTCAGGCCGATTGTTGAAGTACAACCCCGTGACCAAGGAAACCTCTGTTCTCGTTCGGAACCTTCAGTTCTCCAATGGCGTTTCCATAAGCAAGGACAGGACCTTCCTGGTTTTCTGTGAGGGCTCCCGTGGCAGGTTGCTCTCATGCCTGTGAACCCCCCCTGGCCTCGCTCTCAACACCAGGCTATGCTAATCAAGATTATTCTGCTGCTGCTAGAAATGTACTTACCTAAGTTGGTCGCAAATTATTGGGCAGGTTGACCAAGTATTGGCTGAAGGGGGAGAAGGCAGGGACCACAGAGACATTTGCCATCCTCCCCGGCTTCCCTGACAATGTGAGGACCAATGAGGCAGGCGAGTTCTGGGTGGCAATACACTGCCGGCGCAACCTATACTCTCACCTCTCCTCCCTCTTCCCTCGGCTGAGGAAGCTCCTGCTGAATCTCCCCATCACTCCCCGGCAACATTTCCTGCTGCACATTGGAGGCCGGCTACAGGGTGTGATCGCAAAGTATGGACCTGATGGGCAGCTGCTGAAGATCCTGGAGGACAGGGAGGGGAAGGTTGTCAGGGCATGTAGTGAGGTGGAGGAGAAGGATGGGAAACTGTGGATTGGCTCTGTCTTGATGCCATATATCGCAGTCTATGATCTCAACTGAGGTAGGAGCAGCAGCCTGCCTCCCCACTTCTTATCTTCCATTACCCTCCATAAAATCGGTTTTTTCCAGAGCTCATGCTCCTACTTTTCCTCTACAAAATCAAGGCTTTCTAGTGAAAGGACCTTGAGTTTTTTTTATTCCTAATTTTAATCCCGTTCTCTCTACTTGTTGATCTCTTGTTGGATTATCTTTGATTCTGATAGTGTTGCCCTTTGGATGTTGATCATCATCTACTTTTTAGGTGCACTTGATAAGGTATTCATGTGCCCAAGATAGGTGGAGGTTGAATTCAAGAATATGGATGAATATTTTTAATGCCACAACTCACAATAGGATTTTGGTATTTACATCAAATCTGGAGAAATCAAATAATAAAATAAAATAAAAAATATGACACATGACATGCGAATAATAATGAGATACATGTGAGGTACAATAACTTGAAGTATTTTAACACTCTCCCTTGAGTTAGTGAATGTATATCATTCAGTTTCAACTTGGAGATCATCTTGTTGGCGTGATAGGGTTTCATTGGATTGGTAAGTGAAGTTTTTAAGTGATTTAATAAAATATTTATCCATAGTATTTCACATACTCCTTGAGAGAGTGTTCTGAATTCTACTTGAGTATTTTGATCAAGCAACCACATTTTATTTTTCACTTTGCTAAGTGAAGTAATCAGATTGTCTTACAGAATGTAAGAAGTCCAAAGGTTGGCCGACAATTTAAAATTGAACTAGCATAGTCTAATCTGTATACATTTCAATCTTCATCTTATTGTCATGTTTGAAGAAAATACCTTTTTCAAGATTACCCTTCAAATAATGCAAGACTCGGTATGCTCCATAGAGATGGGACTCTTTAGGCTGAATCATAGGCTAACTCAAGAAATTAATAGTATAGGAAATGTCACATCTAGTGTGTGTTAGATAAATCAGCTTCTTGATGAAATGTTGGTACATCTTTTGTTCTATAGATGTCTCCACTTCATTTAAAAATAATTTGTGATTGGGATAAATGAGATTAATCATTGGTTTATATGTAGATTTTTCATTATCCTTGAGAAGATCTACCATATACTTTTATTGGGATATGAAGATATCTTTAGAGTGAGTAAATTTGGTTCCAAGAGAGTATTTAAGGTGATTTAGAGTCATGATATCAAACTCTTTGGCCAAATATTGGCTATGGTATTTTTGTTCAATTACATCATTCCCTATAATGAAAATATCATTGACATAAACTAATAGAATAGCAACTCCCCCTGACAAAGAATACTTTAAAAATAGAGTGTGATTAGTATTAATTTGATGATAATTCAATTTTTTCATGACTTCAGCAAATTTTCCAAACTAAGCATGAGAAGATTTTTAAGTCTATACAAGGACTTCTTAAGACTGTACACAACATTGGATGATAATTATCCTTCATAACTAAGTAAAAGAGTCATGTAAACTTCTTCAACAAGATCTCTTGTGAAGAAAAACATTCTTCACATCATATTATTAGATGTTTTAACTAAAAATAGTCTCTAAAGATTTAAATATTGAGTATGTTCATTTTTATCATAGGAGAAAATGTTTCTCGATAATCAAAATTTCATATGCATGTGTGCAGTCTTTAACAACTGATATGGGTTAGTTGAGGCATTAGCTCTCTATTTCATAGAATATACCCACTTATAACCAATCAACTTTTTATTCTTGGGTAGAATAATGAGTTCTTAGATTTGATTTCATTCAAGATGACTCATTTCTTTATTCATGACTTGTTTCTACTCTTTCCTAAATAGAGCTTTGATTCACCTACTAGTCATTGAATTAGAAGATGTCAATTTTATTTTTTATAATTAAACTCAAAATAGAAATTAGAATTATATATTATAGTGGTTTAAGTAGATCCTTGGAGATGACTATTAATTTATATGTTGGATTTGGCTCTCTAATATTTAGTCAACTAATTAGAACCATGAAAAAAAAGAAAATGAAAGCGAGAGAGAGAGAGAGAGAGAGAGAGAGAGAGAGAGAGAGAGAGAGAGAGAGAGAGAGAGAGAGAGAGAGAGAGAGATATCTCTCTCACTGTTACCAGGATCTGGGCAATCTATTCTATGTAAACTATTTTTGATGAAAATGTTCAAACACAAAGCTAATATTAAAGAGGACATTTAACTTCAGGGTAACTTAAACTATGAATAAAAACTAGAATCAAATCTCTTCCTCATCTGTTACACAAGGGCAAAGATAGAACAATGTAAGGGTTTTGAATCCATTGTGACTATCACCCACACTACTAATAAAGTATAAATCAAAGGTAAATCACAAATTAAGGTTAAAAATAAAGTTAAAAAATCTATGATTCTCAATTCACTACTCAGTCAAGTCAATCTCACAAGTCACACAAACAGAGAGAAGATTGATTGGGATGAAAGCCTTGCTTTTTTGGCTGCTAATATCCACCTTGCTTTACATGTTGTTGTTGTCAAGCTCACCTCCACCTATCACTCAAGAAGAGAGCTCGTTGATACTACTGGCTTTCTTACTATCATGCTGATCTATGTCATAGCACACCATCACACCACCTTCGTTGCCAAACATTGCAGCACACTATCGCATTTTCCTTGTTAGTAAAAGAAAAGTCACATCAAGGAAATTTAAATCAAAACCAATTTCTATATTTAAAAAATAAAGTCACACCATTTTATAGAAAGCTTTTAACCTCGGAAACTATTCATACACATATGACATGAATTTATACTTCTATGAAAATATATTATGAAACTATTTTAAAATGCCTTTTGATCATTCAAATATTTTCCAACAAATTCATTCTTGAAAAGCTTCACATGCTTGAGTTTCCATAATCACTAATAGAAAGGAGGCTGCCAAGATGACCATGAACTGCCACATCAACGTAAAAATAGGACTTCAAGACATGGATGTTCCTTTGATTCATGGGAGGAAACCCGTCCAACGAAAAACTTGGTCCTGAATGGCTTGAGCTCTCAGATTATCCATTGCAAACGGCCGGGGGGGATGTGGCTGCTCTGGGAATCCAGGACGTCGGGAGAGAAGAGTTTGACTTCCGTGTGGGTCGGTGGTATGGCCATTAACTCAATGCGACCAGCCCCTCTCCCCACCGACATACAGGGATATTTTGGGAAACGGGCCTCTTCATATTCGAGCCCACTAGAGACGGACGACCCATTTAGGAGAGGCGCAAATCAGAAGGAAATACAGGTGCTGGCTCGTGAGAACTCCACGTGGTGATGTAGCCGTTGTTTCTTGTCGAGCGGATCGGACCATCCGATTCGACTCGGTGAGGGGTCAGCGTGTAGGCGCGGAATGTGGTGCGCGCAGTTGAGATTTCTCCTTTGGACAGCCGCTCTGGGCCGCCAGCAGGCTATCCTCGTGGGGACGTCAGATGTTTCGACCATGGGCACGTGGGCGACCACAGGCCCCCCTCTCTCTCTCTCTCTCTCTCTCTCTCTCTCTCTCCAAGTTGTGAAGAGAGAGAAACAGGGGAGGGAAGTCGGGAGGAGGGAGTTCCTGGAGAGTAGCGGGAACGCCTTGGATCGTTTGTGGGTGAGGGGAAGAGCGAGGAGGCATATTCCACGCGTGAATATTCTGATCCCTGAACGAAAGCCCGGAGAGAGAAGAGGGGGGGAAGGTGACGGCAGAGAGAGAGAGAGAGAAGGAGGGAGAGGGCGAGAAGGAGAGAGGGGTCTATTTCTTTATGACGGGGGCCTTTCCTTTCCTGCCCCCGTCTGTATCCCCTCTTCCATTCACGGGTTCCTCAATGCATGCATAGAGTTTCTTGATCCCGGAGATTTCAGGTGAGGACTTTTCCTCCGCGGACTTCTCCCTTCCAATTTGGCACCGCTTTCGTCGGTTTTTGAATGCGCGTTTCCCTTGCCCTTGTTTTGCCCTACAATTCTGTGTTATTCCCCTCCTCTCTCTCCGTTTGGGGACCCTGCGGACCCATTTTGGCTAGCTTTCATCCTCCTCTCATCTTTTCGTCGTTTCCTGATTTTTGAGTCACTATGTCGTTCGGAATTCTCATTTTACTCCCGGAAAATCGCTACTTAGCCCTCTTTTGGCGTCTGACATTGCGGATCCGCTGTCCCACTTGGTATGTAATGCTTGTCATGTATAATTCTCCCCGAGGTGACGAATGAGCCGCAGGCGTTCGTGTTACGGCCTCGTAGAAAACGTTATGTATTTTAATTCAAATCAGAAATCCGGGTTATGGTCCCAAATTCTTTTTCTCTTCATTTAATCCTCAGGTTTTTATGCAGCAGATCCTTTTGGCTAAGGGAAAGAAATGATTTTTTTCTGGTCATATTTATACCATGGATTTCTTCTGTCCATTTGTCCAGAGCACACAACAGTCGAAGTCAACGGCATCTTAGTTGTCCCGGAAGAATAAATATTTTTTTAGTCAACTGGTTAAAGTGTGGGCATCTTCAGTTTTCCATTTGATCAGGCTCTTTACATAAGCTTCTTCTTTAACGTTCATGCCCTCTCTTCTCAGTTCTCACACTCATCTGGTTATTTCTCTTTTAAATGTTTCACACACAGTCTTCTTATAAATTACTGTCAGGCAATCGTGTGGCCATTCATGATGACCCATTTTCCTTCAAATATATTGTAGGCGACTTATGGACCAACATTATCTTCACAATCTAGCAGATGAATGACTGTGGGTTCATCATGGAGTAGCTGGTGAGCGGAGAAGCACATCATGGAAAGCAATTAATCCTTGAAAATGGTTCCACAGTCAGTGCTCACTGCTGTGTGACCAAACAACATCTACCCCACCTTTGAAGACTTCACGTTTCAGCAGCAAAGTGACATTAAAGTGGAGGTAGCAGCGCAAATTTTGCATGATCAGTAATTTGATTCTTATGGAGGTCTCGGGATCGCCTTCTGGCTCGCTCAACCAGGCATCATTGCGGAGAGGTTCGTCCAGTTGCTCTCTGAAAGATATTTGGTCTGCTGCAAGAGAAGGTTCCCTTAGCGAGCTAGATTCTTCTCTGTCCCTGCTGAAAAAGAATGGCGGGAATGTTGATGCGAAGAACGCGTTCGGTCTTACTGCCCTTCACATTGCCACGTGGAGGAACCATGTGCCCATTGTGAAGAGGCTGCTTTCTGCTGGTGCTGACCCTGACGTGAGGGTATGCTGCTCTCTGTCCTCTTCAAAGATCTCCTCCACCCCCCTTCCTTTGCTGTTTCCTGCTCTTTCCATTATTTCTACTGTCAGAATGATGCAGGAATTGTTGTACTTTCAACTATAAGATGTTTGATTTGGGTGCTCTGGAAGGGCAGTTCTTACTTTCTAGAAAGTATCTAGGCATAAATATGTTGTGGGTAATATACTTTGTGGAACATTATTCTATTAGGGGGCAATATTGCTTTTTGGGATCGTAATTAACAATATTGGCGATTTGACTTTGTAATATGGCTGTGAACTAGCTTCTGTGGACATATTTGTCGGCCTGTCATGAAGTGGTTAATGAAATTGTACAGGACGGTGATGAGGTGATGAGTTTGCCTCTTGTATCTGTCTTTACTTAATGAATGTTTTACCTCTCAAGTGAGCTGAACTTTTCTGCTAAGGAGAATCATAAATTGTGGAGATGAGAAATTCTCTGGGGAAAATATATTGCTTTGCTACTTTTTAACAATCCTCATATTCATGAGACAATACATATAGATCTATCTACCAGGGAAGATCTTGCAATAACGTTGATTGGGTAGAGGTATGCAGCACATTGGGTATCAAAATGCATCAAAAACAAACAGTTCAACTTCCCTGTAATTGATGGCCGCGAGAAATATGTTCCATGTAAAAGCCTACAAGATTCTGAATAGGGAGGCACCAGTCCGTAGCTCCAAGCATTGTGGAGTTCATTAGACAATTGTTGATTGGTGAAATGGAGCCTGGAAGTGTAAGAATGGGCATGATCGTGAAAGATGATATGCGGCAATCATCTACTGCCATTGTTTAATGACTTTGATTGATGCAGATGCTGGTCATCATTGTATTTTCTGTTCATTGGCGACAGAACTGACGACAAAGTTTATACTAGATTTTTGAGTTTGCGGAATCATACCTATTTTTAAGTCAGCCAATGGTGAGATATTTGTGCCGTTGTTCAAATCAGATCTAAACGACCTAATGGGGTGATAATGATTTACTGTCTTTGGATTAATTCATTTTTGTCTGAGACCATAAATAAATATAACATGTTTTGTCATATCATATCTTGAAACATTTTGGGGTTTAAATTTCCATATTTATGATTATTAAGCTGCCAATGGGTTACATAGTTTAAGTTTCAATTGCTCTTGTAGGACGGGGAGTCAGGGTGGAGCAGCCTGCACAGGGCTCTACATTTTGGTCATCTTGCTGTGGCCGGCATTCTTCTTCAGTCTGGTGCCACACTTACGCTTGAGGACTCAAAGTTTCAGACACCAGTTGACCTTATCTCAGGACCTGTGTTGCTAGGCGTTGGAAAGGACTACCATTCAGGTACATTATTTGGACTTCTCATTGGAGTTTAAATGTCAACTCGGCGCATTTTTGGATTGTTTTGCATCACCAGAAAAGTCTTCTACTCTATTTCTTAGTTTCCATGTGGTTGTACTATTTCAGTTGCAACTGAGATTTACAGCTGGGGAAGCGGTACAAACTATCAACTTGGTACTGGTAATGCTCACATACAGAGGTTGCCATGCAAAGTCGATGCACTTCAGGGATCCTACATTAAGATGAGTGCAGCGGCGAAGTTCCATAGTGTCGCTGTTGGCAGTTGTGGGGAGCTATACACGTGGGGATTCGGTAGGGGAGGTCGTCTAGGGCACCCAGACTTTGACATTCACAGGTAAAGTTGCTTGCTGCAGTGAACATGCTTAATACAACACACTTGTCAAAAAAATTAGTTGACGAGGATAACTCATAGACTGACTCAGCTTTGCAAATGGCTCTCAAGAAAATTTCACAATCATCATAGGTTTAAAAGTGTTGTATGATTTCTTTCGTAAGTAGTTTTAGGAATCTCAACACCCCTTTTTACATCATGTTGTTCTCTTCTTTGGCATTTGATTGTTCTGGTGCTCTTTCATAAAAGAAAGGGTAAAATATGGTGCATTGAAAGGGACGATAAACAGTTTGGAATTTTTTTACGTTTTCCATGATTGAAAAATGTGGGTTTGGTTTGAATTGACCTTACCTATCTTCATTTTTGAAATGAAATTATATAAAGCCTACCCTCTCGTGGGTGTATTTGTATGCACTTTTTGGTGATCAAGTTCAGGTTTTTATAATCTTTTTGCCTGGAAAATCTTTTGATTGCGCAGAGTTGCAAATTCAATGTTGTCGTTGTTGTACTTGCGAAGGTCAGATTTTGTTTCTCTAAACCTTTAAAATATGAAAAGACTTATTCGAATGAGGATAATTAGTTGGAAGGTTCTGAAAATATGAAAACTGAGCAAAATCGTGTAAAGTGGCCATCTTTTTTCTGACAGAACTACATGCAGTTTTCTTTCTGGATATCTTTTCTTTGATTCTAGTTACTAACTTTTGACTTTTTTGGATAGTTTCCTTAATGGCGAATCTTTTGATTCATTGTAATCACAGCTCGAATATGCAGCACTTTTTTGGCATTTGGATTTCGTATTGTGAGACCTTTCCTTCAGACGGAATTATCCAGTGAAAAAAAAAACGAAAATTTAGAAGGTTTTCTAAGTAGGTTCAACAGATGAGCTATTTCTCTCTCTTGATAAGACTGCCCTTTTAGCTCTTTCTTGTGGTTGGTTTGCTGTTCTTTGCAGCGGCCAAGCTGCTGTGATTACTCCTCGCCAGGTGACAATGGGGTTGGGTTCCCGGCGTGTCATGGCCATCGCTGCTGCTAAGCATCACACTGTCATTGCAACAGAAAGTGGGGAGGTGTTCACGTGGGGATCAAACAGAGGTATTCATAACATTTGGAACGTTACCATTCTGGCAGTAACAGCACTCTCCTTTTCAAGGATTTTTCATGGGTCGAATCAATGCCATGACATAATCAATAGGAAGGAGATGGGAGGAGAGGAAGGAATCTGGCATCTTTCTCTGAATTCCTCAGTCGTTTGGGTTACTGTTAGAACTCTTGCTCTCCTTACCTTTGCAAAATCTAGGGAAATCCCATGCGCCTCCCTGCCATGTTGTTGAATATCTATATTTATTTATTTATTGTTCTATTTTTGTTAGCTTTTGTCTCATGCAATGACCAAAGTCAACGATCCAGTTCAGAACAGGCAGAATAATTGGGGGGAAAAGCTCTTTTAGATGCCATCTCCTGGGAGCTAAATATCTGATATAGACTGTATTAATTGTACACAGAGGGTCAGCTTGGCTATCCTTCTGTTGATACCCAACCAACACCAAGGAGAGTGAGCTCACTCCGGTCAAGAATAATTGCTGTTGCCGCGGCAAACAAGCACACCGCAGCAGTTGCAGAATCAGGCGAAGTCTTCACATGGGGATGCAACAAAGAGGGCCAGCTGGGTTATGGCACCTCAAACTCCGCTTCAAACTATACTCCACGATTGGTCGAGTATCTGAAGGGAAGGAACTTTAAGGCCGTCTCAGTGGCAAAATACCACACAGTCGTCTTAGGGGCAGATGGAGAGGTATAGAATGTGAAATATTTATTAAATTACCCTTTGCTTCTGACTTGCTGATTCCCTCGCCTCATGCTGTATAATTCTTATCCCATTTCAGAAATCAGAAATCTTGATGCCATGGTGCTCCTGTTGGTTGAATCTTGCAGGTATTTACATGGGGCCATCGGCTTGTGAACCCAAGACGTGTGATCATTGCTAGAAACACCAGAAAGGGAGGATGCGTCCCGCTGGTGTTCCATCGCACTGGGCGGCTCCACGTTGTAGCCATCGCTGCTGGAATGGTTCACACCACAGCCCTTGCTGACGATGGCTCTCTGTTTTATTGGCCGTCCTCCGATCCTGAGCTGAGATGTCAACAGGTTGGGTCCTCTGACTTATATGGGCACCTTGGAGAAAGAAAGAAATAAATTATAATCTGAGAGTCAACCCCAAATTTTAAACCCTGCTGCTGCCTTTCCCTACCTGAGAGCTTTCCTTCTTCCCGCAGATGTATTCCCTGCAGGGGAGGGATGTTGTGAGCATTTCTGCGGGGAAGTACTGGACGGTTGCGTCTACCAAGATGGGTGATGTCTACATGCTGGATGGGAAGAGATACAAGGACGAGACTCCCATTCCAACTCGCTTAAATGGCATAAAAAATGCGACTTCAGCTTCCGTCGGAGAGACGCACATGCTGGTCGTCTGTGCCTTGTATCATCCCCCATATCGCTTGGGCCTTGACCCGGATGCCCAGAAGCCAAAGTTGAAGTCTGCTGATGAAATCGAGGAATTTGATGCAGATTTCATGTTCGATGACCCGCGGCCGGAGTCAGAAATGGGAGAGGATGAGCTCATCAGCAAGCCCATTCCGAGTTTGAAAAGCCTCTGTGAGAAAGTGGCAGCTGAGGTCCTCGTGGAACCTCGGAACGCCATTCCTCTGCTAGAAATCGCCGATTCTTTGGAGGCAAACGATCTGAGGGCGCATTGTGAGGTATTTTGATGAGCATTGGAGCTATATATTTCTCAGAATCAGGCTCTGTTTTGTTTTATGGTCGCATGGGTTGTCTTCCTCAGCTTAAATCTGAACCAAAAGCGTTGACCTTGTGCAGGAGATGGCCATCCGCAACCTCAGCTACATCTTCACGGTCTCAGCACCGTCTGTTGCGAGTGCTTCCTCTGAAGTCCTGGCAAAGCTCGAGAGAGCAATGGATGCGAAGTCGTCGGAACCTTGGAGCCACCGGCGGCTGCCCACCCCCACTGCCACCTTTCCCGCTGTTATTGACAGCGAGGAGGAGCATGAAGATGAAAACGGGCCGCTCAGAGTCCGTGAGAATGACTCAAAGCTTGTGGGGAAATTGCACAGAGATCCTTGGCTTGACGGATTTCTTCCATCGGATAGCGCCGCCGATTCGGAGGTCACGAAACGGGTTAGAGCTGTGTGGAAGAAGCTGCAGCAGATTGAGATTCTTGAGGCGAAGCAGTCCAACGGTCATGTTCTTGATGACCAGCAGATCGCCAAGCTCCAGAGCAGGCCCTTGCTCAAATCAGCTCTCGCTGATCTGGGTTTTCCTCTCGAGATGGTGCAGGAGCCTTCGCCATCCCTTCCAGCGGATGGCAAAGGGAGGAAGAAGACAGGGGCTTCCAGGAGGTGTAGAACAAAGAGCAAGCAGAAGGAACCGCCAGCCGAGCTTCCCCCTCTGAAATCCGAAACCTGTAGGGAGCAAAAACCAGGCGAAGGTCTTCCCGGCACAGAAGATATCCGAGTTCCCAATGAAAAGGTCCGACATTTCACTCTTCCCCAGTTCATTTCAACCTCTGGGTGTTCTCAAAAACCGATCTTTTCGCAGGTCGATGAGGTTGCAGGCCCCCTCACCCTCGATCCTCCGATCGGCAATGCGTACTGCAGTGGTAGCAGTAGGAGCGCTAACAGTGAGGCCCGGGTGAGCCTGTCCAAGAAGAAGAGGAACAAGAAGGGGGGGCTGTCAATGTTCTTGAGCGGTGCTCTCGACGACTCTTCAAAGGGGGCGGCTCCACCACCGCCACTGCCGCTGCCACTGCTGCCGAAGAGCGAGGGGCCGGCATGGGGCGGCGCCAAGGTTTCGAAGGGCGCTGCTTCTCTCCGTGACATCCAGGATGAGCAGAGCAGAACAAGCGCTGATCGGCCCGGAAACAAGAAATTGGAGGCCGGCCCGGTTGAGATCGGCGATCCCGGGAAGATTCAGCTGAGCTCTCTGCTACCAGTGGCGGCATTGTCGAGCCCGATTCCGGTGTCATCAGCTCGACTGGCGGCGCCATCGAGGCCAATTCCAGTGTCATCAGCCCGACTGGTGGCGGCGCCGTCGAGCCCAATTCCAGTGTCACCAGCCCGACTGGCGGCGGCTCCAGAGGGAGAAAGGAGCACGCCGCCATGGTCTTCATCTGGGAGCTCTCCAACTATATCCCGGCCCTCTCTCAGAGACATCCAGATGCAGCAGGTAGAAAAGCTCCCCTCTTGACTGAAGAATTTCTGGTTTCAGTCCAAATTGTTGAGCTTTCCTTTCATGGCGGCTGAGCAGGTGAAGAAACAGCAGCAGCAGCAGTGCATGGCGCACAGCCCCAAGTTGAGGACGTCGGGCTTTGCGGCGGCGCCGCCCGGCGGCGCGGGCTCGCCGTCGGAGAGCGCCGCCAGCCGCTGGTTCAAGCCCGAGGCCGACGCTCCCTCTTCCATCCGCTCCATCCAGATCGAGGAGGAGGCCATGAAAAACCTCAAGCGTTTCTACAGCACCGTTAAGCTGGTCAAACCCCATCCTCATGCATGATCCTCCGTCCCCCTCTTGTACATTAGTCAGAGTTGTACATCCCTAATGCGTAATACCCATCAGAGGGATTGTTCAGAGCGTTGACATCCCCCCTACTGCCCTAGTGATGTTATTACAGGAGTCAACGCATGGGGCGTGTAGATGATCGGCCCAGAAGGACTACTCAAATCTATCGTAACCATTGCACGAAATCGGCAAGATTCGTGTCCCAGATCTCAGGAGAACGGTAATATGACGACCAGCTGTCACCTATTTCTGGTTGGTCCTAAATGTTGACTTCCCGTGAAAACACCCGCCTGTGTCGCCGTACATGTGTCAGTAAGAGAGGGGAAGGGCTTCGGTTGATCCGCGATCCCTCCGTCCAGCTCTCTCTCTCTCTCTCTGAAACCCACGGAAATGGCACTAGTATCTTACGATCAGTCGCCCATTTGTGAAAGACGGCGCGTAATTGCTGGGTCTTACTGAAGGAGATTAGACCAACACCTGGGCCGTAATTCGAGTCCGGCCGCCCCTATTGCCTCAGAAATTCTTGGAGGCGACGGACTCCACGTCGCCATCGCCGTCGGCAGGGTCATCCTCCCTAGGCCCCACCGGAGAAAGGGTTCCGCCGTGGAATTGACGGAGGGGATGGCGATAAAGTCGACTGCCCTCTTCTTGGCCGGCGAAGTTGTAGGGGGCCGCTAAGCGGAGTGGTGGAGCATCGGCAGCGGCGGGAGATGAAGGCCCAGAGCCTGGTTTTCGCCATTAATGGCGAGAGGTTCGAGCTCGCGAGCGTCGACCCGACCACCACCTTGCTCGAGTTCTTGCGGACCCGGACGAGCTACAAGGGGGCCAAGCTCGGCTGCGGAGACGGTAGATGTCTCCCCTTCTTCCTCCAGCTAGGGTTTTCTGGTTCGCCCATCCGTCCGGGAAAATCGGTAGAACTTTTAGGTCGCTAGGGTTTTCTGGTTTTCCTTCCTCCATTGTCATTCTTCAATCTGCCGGTTTTTTACCCTTTTCTAGGGGGATGCGGGGCCTGCGTCGTCCTCCTCTCGAAATACGACCCCGTTTCAGGGGAAATTGAGGATCTCTCAGTGAGCTCCTGCCTCACCCTCCTGTGCAGCGTCCACCTCTGCTCCGTCACCACCACCGAGGGCCTCGGAAGCTCGAAGGGCAGCGGCGGGTTCCACCCGATTCACCGGAGGATCGCCGGATTTCATGCCTCGCAGTGCGGGTTCTGCACACCCGGTGTCTGCATGTCCATCTTCTCCGCCCTGGTCAACGCCGACAAGGCCCCCCGCCGGCCGGATCCGCCGCCTGGCTTCTCCAAGCTCACCGTCGCCGAAGCCGAGAAGGCCGTCGCCGGCAACCTCTGTCGCTGCACCGGCTACCGCCCCATCGTCGACGTCTGCAAGAGCTTCGCCGGCGACGTTGACCTCGAGGACCTGGGGCTCAACTCCTTCTGGCGGCGGGGGGAGACCACCAAGGCCGGCGCCGCCGCCGTCGACATGCTCCCCTCCTACTCCCTCGGCGGCGGCATTGGCACCTTCCCGGACTTCCTGAAAGCCGAGATCAAGGCGTCCTTGTTGGATTCAGCCTCTGAGATTCCACAGTCCGCCATAGCCTCGAGCTTCGTCGGCTCCTGGTATGCTCCCAAAAGTCTGGGCGAGTTGCACAGCATTCTGAGATCGGAAGGGCCTGGGAACCGCCTGAAGCTGGTCGCCGGCAACACCGCCGCCGGCGTGTACAAGGAGGTGGACCGCTACGACAGGTACGTTGACCTCAGGCTGATCCCGGAGCTGAACGAGATCAGAGGAGGCGACCCCGCCGGGTTTGTGGAGATCGGGGCGGCGGTGAGCATCTCCCGCGCCGCCGTAGCTCTGGAGAGAGAGGGAGGCGCCGTCTTCTGCAAGCTCGCCACCCATCTGAGGAAGGTGGCCGCCGAGTTCGTCCGCAACACGGCGAGCATCGGCGGCAACCTCGTCATGGCGCAGAGGGGGAAGTTCCCGTCGGACGTCGCCACCATCTTCCTCGGCGCTGGCGCGTCTGTCTCCATACAGGTCGGTTGTCAGAGGTCGCTTCTCTCTCTAGAGGAGTTCTTCGAGATGCCCCCCATCGACGCCGGGAAGTTGCTGCTTAGTGTGAGGCTTCCCAGCTGGGCGGAGTCCGCCGGAGGAGAGAGAAAGTCAAAGTTAGTGTTCGAGACCTTCAGGGCGGCGCCCCGGGAACTTGGGAACGCCGTCGCCTACGTCAACGCCGCCTTCCTGGCCCGTGTCGCCGCCGGAGAGGCCTCTGGAGGGCCCGTCGTGGAGAGCTTGCGGCTGGCTTTCGGAGCCTACGGCGGGCGGCACGCCACCCGAGCCAAGAAGGTCGAGGAATTCCTCACCGGCAAGCCGGTCAACTCCGGCGTCATGCTGGAAGTGATCAGATTACTAAGAGAAGATATTTCGCCGGAGGAAGGCACTGATCACGCATCTTACAGAGTCAGCGCCGCCGCCGGTTTCCTCTTCAAGTTCCTCCTGCAGCTCGAGGAAGAACACGGCGGAGGAGGATCAGTGAGAGCAGTTGCTGGAGAGAAGGAGACCCTGCTTTTAAGCACCGGATTCCAGAATGAGCACATTTCGTTCTCAAACGGCGAGGTCTCCGCCGTCGATCGATCGGGCAGTCAACGGGAGAAGCTTCCACCCTCGAGGCAGGCGATCGAAGGGAGCAGCACAGAGTATCATCCCGTCGGCCAGGCAGTGAAGAAAGTCGGCGCGGAGATCCAAGCCTCCGGTACGCTCTCTCTCTCTCTCTCTCTCTCTCTCTCTCTCTCTTGTGATCCCGTTGACCAGAAACTCCATCTCTACTATATCTGCTTTAAGTTAGTAAAAAAATGGAAAAACCCAGGTTAGATGGACGAACTTATTAGGAAATCTCGGTTGACTTTGTGCTTGCTCCTGGGGTCTGACCTTTTCAGGGGAGGCGGTGTATGTGGACGACATACCGTCCCCGATAGGTTGTCTGCATGGGGCTTTCGTGTACGGCACGAGGCCGCTGGTGCCGGTGAAGGAGGTCAACCTGAAGAACCAGACGGCGGCGGCAACGGAGGAACCCGTCTCGTTTATCTCTGTGAGGGATATCCCTAGCGGCGGGAAGAATATCGGGGCCGGGATCATGGCCATCTTAGGCGATGACCCGCTCTTCGGATCTTCTTGCGCTGACTATGCTGGTCAACCCCTCGGCCTCGTGGTAACTCCTTTTGCTTTGTTTTGACTTGATTCCAGTGAGGGAAGAAAGAGAGAGAGAGAGAGAGGGGGTTGACCTCGTGAGTTGACCTTGCAGGTTGCAGAGACCCAGAGAGCGGCCAATGCCATCGCTCGGAAGGCGGAGGTTGTCTACGAAGGCGAGATCACCGGGCCGCCGCCTATCATGTCGGTGGAGGAGGCCGTGGAGAGGAACAGCCTCTTTGATATGCCGCCATTCCTCCAGCCCGCCTCCGTCGGGGACTTTGACCAAGCGATGGAGGAGGCCGACCGGAAGATCCTCTCTGCCCAGGTGATAAAGAATAAGGAGAGAGAGAGAGTGTTTAAGGGTTGACTTTTGGTTTTGACTTTGTTCTATTCTTCAGATCGTTCTTGGGTCTCAGTACTACTTCTACATGGAGACGCAGACGGCGCTGGCCGTCCCCGACGAGGATGACTGCATGGTGGTGTACAGCTCCTCGCAGTCCCCCGAGCGGACGCAGAAGATCATCGCACAGTGCCTCGGTCTCCCGCAGCACAACGTCCGCGTCATCACCCGCCGCGTCGGCGGCGGATTCGGTGGCAAGGCCGTTCGCTCCATCCCCGTAAGCCCCCCTCCGCCGCCGCTGCTCGCCATTTCCACCCCCGCTGCTCGGACTTTGTCGCTGGTGCTCGCCATTATCGCCGCCGCTGGTAGTGCAGGTGGCGACGGCGTGCGCGCTGGCGGCGTTCAAGCTCCGGCGGCCTGTGCGCATGTACCTGGACAGGAAAACGGACATGGTGGTGGCGGGCGGGCGCCACCCGATGAAGGTGAGCTATTCGGTGGGGTTCAAGGAGACGGGGAAGATCACGGCGCTGCGAACGGAGATCCTCGTCGACGGGGGGGCGACGCCGGACTTGAGCCCGATCATGCCGCTGAACATCTCGGGAGCTCTGAAGAAGTACGACTGGGGAGCGCTCTCCATGGACTTCAAGATCTGCAAGACGAACCGCCCCACGAGGTCCGCCATGCGCGGTCCCGGGGAGGTCCAGGGGACCTTCATCGCCGAGGCGGTGGTGGAGCACGTCGCCGACGAGCTCGCCGTCGACCCAGAGGCAGTCAGGGAGGTCAACATGCACACCTTCGACAGCCTCCGGCGGTTCCACGGGCCCAGCGCCGGCGACCCGCCGGAGTTCACCCTGCCGGCGGTCTTCTCCCGGGTGGTGGCGACGGCGGAGCTCCGCCGTCGCCGGGAGGAGGTCCGGCGGTTTAATGGGGAGAACCGGTGGCGGAAGCGGGGGATCTCTCACGTGCCCATCTTGCAGCCGGTGTCCTTGCGGCCGACACCGGCGAAGGTCGGAGTCCTCGGCGATGGTTCCGTCGTCGTCGAGGTCGGCGGCGTGGAGCTGGGCCAGGGGCTCTGGACCAAGGTGGCGCAGATGGCGGCGTACGCCCTCGGCCACCTTTTGGACGAGGGGGGTGGCGTTGACCTTCTCCATCGTGTGCGGGTCGTACAGGCTGACTCGCTGAGCTTGATTCAGGGGGGATTCACCGCCGGCAGCACCACCTCCGAGTCGAGCTGTGAGGCCGTGCGCATCGCCTGCAACGAGCTGGTGGCCCGCCTCATGCCGCTCAAGAATAGGCTCCTCGAGCAGTTGGGGTCCTCCCTCACCTGGGACCTTCTGATCGGACAGGTAAATCAGTCAATCAAACAAATCGATCGATCAAGCTCTGAAAAGTCAACGGCGACGACACCACCTCACCATCTGTTTTGCAGGCGGCGATGGTGTCGGTGAACTTGTCGGCGAGTACTCTGT